GTGCGAGACTTATTCGGAAAGCCAGGTTGCCCGGAGCGCAAGTTATTTTTACAGCGGCTGGGTTTACGGCCAGCGGCTTCTGAAATAAACAGTGCCGCGGTCCCGCCTGATAACATCCCGCCTCGGCCTGCCGGCCTGCACGTGAGCAGTCCCTCTACTCAAATAACAGCGGGTGTTGATAATTTGGCGTTTCGCCTCCCTGAGCACGTGCGCGTAGGGATTTAATTCCAATATTTCCCCGATAAATGTGTTCGTCATTCGAATTTTCTTCGGCCGAGCGGCGTGGATCGAGCCGCTATCCTGCCGGCTGTGCGCGTGAAGTTTTCGGCGGTTCCGCGGAAAAATAATCCATCCCCAGAAGAAATGTCACGCATGAAAATAACAACTATATCTTAGTTTCCCCGTTTTATGAGTTTTTGAGGCCGTGAAATGTTTAAAACGGTTGAAATTTGTCCAAAAAACCAGCTCGAAAGACTGAGAAATAATGGCCAACATGGCCGACACATGTTGACAACAAAAGTGGTCAAAGGTCAAGTTAGCATCCAAACGTACAGGACATTGCAATGTGCTATAAAAACGATGCTTTAAACGCATGAAATTATTTTTCGGCAACAACAGAAATAAAAATTCACTCATATTTTTAGAAGGTTAATTTTCAAACATTACTGTAAAATTTTTCAAATTTATTGGTTTCTAGCTTCAGAATATAATAGTTGTTTCTTAGAATGTGCGGTTGGATGCTGTGAAGGACTTGACATATATTATTATTAAGTATATTAGACATATATTAGACATATATTAGACATTAGAGATTTAATATGATCGTGCCTACCAGTTTTTGAGTAGGAGTCTCATAGACATAATCACAATTTTATTAGTTCAGCTGTGTCAATATGTGATTTTGTTTGGGATATGATAGGGTTACTACTACTAGCTTAGTTATATTTGGCTTAGTTTATTAAGATGTTGGTAACACCTACTTGCTCCAAGTTCCAGGTAGTAAATACATGTACATTTTGTATCATGTATTTTTCACTTGTTGAACTTGTGGAAGCACCGTTGGCCCCCGGTTAGGGGTCATCCGGGGAACCTATGCCCATTTTTTTCAAAATTAAGGGTGCTAACAGTACTCAGTAGTTGCACGGCTGTGTCAGAACTTACCAGTGAATAACACAAGACAAGTTTGAGTTTACTTCAATCTTTCTGTCTTTGACTCTTTGATTATTATTAAAGAGTTTTCATCTTAATTTAGCCAAGTTGCTCGAGTTATGCTGGTGTAACTGCATTGCCATGGGTTTAGGTCCGGAATCATAAGGTACGGACCTGAACCTAAACCTCTGGTTATGAGTCCAGAACCTGAACGTGGGTTAAGGTCCGCATCCCTAAGTACAAGGTGGATTGGTCATATTGAGAGAGCTCTGGGTGTTAATGGAAGAAGGCCCAGGCAGGACGAGGCAGATGATGAAACCAGCAGTTCTTCCGGCTCAGAGTCGGAGATGTGAAGGTAGCATTTTTGAATAAACGATGATGTTTGACAGCTGTTGTGTTTGCTACTTGATAAACAAACCTATTAATTGATAAAAAGAAAGGATAATGGATATTGGGTAGCAGACTTGAAGAATCCAGTTCCTTTGAAATGGGGCAACCTGAAATCCTGATGGGGCAACCTGGCTTTTGACCCAGGTTGCCGCCCGGGCAACCTGGAAAAAAAAAGGATTTTAACCCCTGCTATGTGAAAATTATTTAGGTGGATGATATCATACAGCTTTGCAGTCACAGAATCTTCTAGACTTTAAACAGATACATGCCATCAACTATCTGCAACAAATTTATTAATATACAATTCATATACATTTCGACTTTTCTTTTACATGGTGTTTTCAGCCAGTAAGTTACATTCTGAATGCAATAGCTGAGGACTAGACAATATATTGATATGTTGTACATTTTGGATTTCACACATTTGTTAAATGAATGTACAATGTAGAGAATTTGTGTTATACACTGTACAGCCCTCAGAATTTCATAATCAAAAACGAATATGAGAAAATGCTTGACCCTCACATTCAAAACGAACAATACTTGTTGCATACATGTGTTGTTATAAAACACATGTAGCTATTAAGGAATGATAGTATTGACCGATCACATACAATGTAGAATAAGAATCGTCTGTCCAGGCTTGGTATTTTCAACGAGTTTTACCTTTACTAGTCTATTCCAAATCTCTTTCCAGACAACATGTAAATTTTCCATTGCGCCTGTCATTCCCAGGTTATTTGATAGAATCTAGTTGCGAATGACAGATCCATTGATTTGACTAGCTGATAGAAAAACAGTGTCTAACACTGGCCGGAAAACCCTGCAACATAACAGTTAAAGTTCTGCAGAGGACTGTAAATTATTTCACAGTGTCAATATCTCTCTCTTAGAGCCTAGCCTGCTGCCTGCTGTTGGACATGTCCCTCAGTTTGTAGAGCATCGCGACACTTTTGTCAAAATGCGGCTGCAGTTTCTCTCTGACACGGTCCATCCAGGCCCGGAGCTTGGGTCTGCCTTTGGTGACGTCACGGCCTGAAGCCAGGCACTGCATCAGTTCGTTGATCTGTAAGGGGGAGGGGAGCACAGATGAGATGTTGTATTGGATTTTTCTAGAGATAAAATTTGTATGCATTGAAGGAATCATACAGGGCTTGAAATACCACCTGTATAACAGCAGCATATGCAGGTATGTGCAGGTAAAATTGGAGCTAGGCAGGTATTTCTAATGTCTACCTGAACCTATAATATATATCTATATATATTTATCAGCTGTATTGACTGTTACCACCTATACAGTATAAAAGAAATACTGGCAAAGGTTTCTGAACAGCTTTTACTTCCTAAATTCTGAGTGGTGCATGTGATATTGTCTGCTGAAGGTAATTTTCAATGTATGCAGAAAAAAGCATACTTAGAAGCTGGTTGTTGACACTCAAACTAAGAGTACTGTTAGGATATCATAAACATTATGTCTGAGACTCACGGCCAGTAGGTCAGCGATAGTGATGTTGTCCCCACAGAGAAACAGCTGGTCCTTCAGGAACATCTTCTGCAGCATGTCAAGAGTGGCATTCAGCTCAGACTCAGCCTTGTCCAGGGTAGCTTTGTCCAGCGGCTTGCCTGTCATCTGGGGCACCATAAACTGTAAACAGGTCAGCAACATACAAAAAAAAGATTGACTTATCAATCCCTGATTTTTCCAAACCATGCCTTTTGCCTCATACCCATTCTTGTAATACATAACATAAAGTTAGGCCACACCAATTTAATTTGTTGGTTCTCGGATTCACCTCTTCATTTTTTTCTGATTTGCAAAAATTTTAAAAAGATTCTGGTTCTGAATCAACTCAAAAATGCTCATATTTTGCCCCCAACAGTTGTGGAAAGTCCTTTTCTTCCTAGCTGTTGCAGTGTTTCCATCTATCAATGCAGTGGTTTGATTAAAAGTTCAAAATTCATTGTTTAAATATTAACACAACCTTTTGTGTTGACTTCATGGCTCCTATCATAGCATTTGGGGCTATAATAGGATGCCTAAACCTGTTTTTATTTTTATTTTTTTTCGCCCTGTCACTTCATGTTTTTTCTGACAAAATCCGAGAACCAACAAATTAAATTGGTGTGGCCTTAACTTACTGTTAACTTTTACTCGTGGAGAGCAGGTGGCATTTACAGAAATCCATGATAACTTCACCTGTAAGTACTAGTTCAGTTCACTTCATCTTCAGTGAAGTGACACCACTTTAGCACTGTACTTCATTGCGGTAAGATAATTTTGCAAGACTGGGTACTAAGGTTGGGCAAGAATCTTATTGTACTCATTAAAAAACTGTGTTTTGTACGTGGACCATTTTTTACCACCAAAAAAATCAAGAACTTACCTCTTTCCAGAACAGCCCTGCTGCATTAAATCGTGTGTTCATGTGTTGCCAGGCCATGTACTCATCCACACGAGCCCTCAGCCGGAGGTCCGAGGGGTACCAATGGTCAGGGACCACGTATCTCACCGCAAGGTACTTCAAGATAGCAACACTGTGTGAAAAAAATTGGAAAAAATGGTAACTTTGCCTTATTTCTTCGTCAGATAAAAATCTTGAATAATAATTATTATTGTATCACTCACACTCACTGCTCGGCTTAGCGTCCGTTGTTCCCCGTCATGCAAGGGTTGGACGTCGTGGGGTGTCGTTTGGGTCTAATAGCTGCTCTCCAGCTGCTTCTGTCTAGCGGGTTGGCCTTCTGCAGTTTCAAGTTTTTGACATCTTCCCTAATACTGTCTATCCATCTCTTTTTTGGACGACCCCGCGGGTTTCGTCCCTCTACGGGCATTGTCATGACCTTCCTTGGCCAGTTCTGCGGGTCCATTCTTTGCACGTGCCCGTACCAGCGAAGTCTGTTGTAGCGCAAGATCTCACGTAGGCTGCTTACACCGAACCTACACCTAAGCTGATCACTTGACACCCTATCAGCCAGTCTACTGGAACATATCCATCTAATATCTGTATCAAATATGACTAGAGTTCCCCGATCTCATACCTTCGCCAAATGATGTTAATCTTTATGACTGACAAAGTTTAGATTAGATTATTCCCCCCTGATTTAAGAAATAGGAACCTAATTTTCATGAATTATATTGTTTTATCATAATCTCAACCAAAAGACAAAAAGTCTTATATGAACAAAGAATGCATTCTAGCATTTCCTAATAAATTATGCAAATGAGGTCCTGATTTCAATAAATTATGTTTAATGATGTTCACCTCAATTTAACTTTCAAATACCACAAGTATGAAATTCCAGGCAGTTATCATTACATAATTATAAAATTTTCTCATTAATTATGCAAATTAAGTTCTTTTTAACATAATCAATATCTTCCTGTGTTTCTCTCGTTGTCAATTACCAATGTCACAAGCTTCAATTGTCCTATCATGGAATGCAGCTGATTTATAGAATTTCCCCATAAATTATGCAAATAACATCCATAATTGTCACATAATTATATTAAGCATCACGTAAGCTACCTACATACCAAAAATCACGACGATCCGTCAACCGGTTCTTGAGTTATCCCCTTTTGAATATTTTCAAGAATTTATCCCTGCAGTTCCAGAGCAAGCCGCTAGGGGGCCTAAACTCACGTCACTTCTTTCCCAGCACAAGAGCTACCTACCATCTAAATTTCAATAACATAGCATGTCTAGATCATGAGATATCAAAACCGGAACTTCAGCTGCAGTACCATAATAAGCCGCTAGGGGGTCCAAAATCTAATCATTTTGAGGTCTCATCAAGACCTACCCACCTACCAAGTATCAAGACAATCCATCAAGGCCTTCTCAAGTTATCGTGTTTACAGACAGACACACACACACACAAACACACACATACACGAACGCCCCTGAAAACATAACCTTCTTGGCGAAGGTAAAAATGCAGTTCCATGTATTCAACAAACTTTCACTGGAAGTGGAGGCTCTAGAAATGTTAGTTTTTTCTAGTTGATTGCAAACCTGTGGTTGAGAAGAGTTACCACCAACTTTTTCATGCACGTGTCAAAAATGTTCAAAATGACATTTATCTTCCTGTGCCTCTCCAAGCAGAGATTTAGGCTTCAGCTTATTGTTTGACGTTTGGGTTTACGGAAAAAGGTGTCCAGTCCGATTGGTGGAAAAAGCAGTCCAGTCCGATTTTGGGGTGGAAAAAGCAGTCCGGTGGTTTCTACGAAATTTTACGAAAGACCATAGGCACAATTTTTTCTTGTGTGTGTACTTCTAGTTTCTATGGGTACTTCTAGTTTCTATGAGTACTTCGAGTTTCTATGGCTACTTAGAGTTTCTATGACTATTTAGAGTTTGTATGGGAACTTGAATTAGCATATATGTGACTCACTATATGCCGCCTTAACCCGTAATTCAGGCAGCCTTGAGTGAGTAATAGCGGACAACCGATTTACACCTCTTGGGACCACCGAAAAGTAGTTTCTATACATACAGGTCACCTATCCACAATAAACAAAAGTTAATTATTAAGGGATTCTTTCTTACAATTGTACTTCCGGTACTTACATGCTTGTCGGTGTAATGCAAAGTCTGCCATACGTGGCTTTAGCAGGGGCCGACTGGATGTTGGGCAGCTGGCAACCGTAAAGCGATTTAATCAGGCTACTTGCAAGCAGGATCGGCCCTGTAAATCTCGTCAGTTGACCGCTTCATCTTTTGACTAATTACTATTACTTATATGTAAGTAATAATCCGGAGGCATGATGATGATATGTAAGTTACAAACTCTAAGTTCCCATACAAACTCTAAGTACTCATAGAAACTCTAAGTACCCATAGAAACTCGAAGTACTCATAGAAACTCGAAGTACTCATAGAAACTCGAAGTGCCCATAGAAACTAGAAGTACACACACAAGAAAAAATTGTGCCTATGGTCTTTCGTAAAATTTCGTAGAAACCACCGGACTGCTTTTTCCACCCCAAAATCGGACTGGACTGCTTTTTCCGCAAATCGGACTGGACTCCTTTTTCCGTAAACCCTTTGACGTTTTACGTAGTACTAGTAGTAGGCATTTGTATTGGGCTTTCTTTTTTGTACAGGCATATTTTTTTATGCCAGCCAAATGCAAATGAATACTGCCCTGATAAATTTGATACTGTCTTGCAGCCACTAAAAGATCTCCCTGTAGGTTACCTTTCTGTGAGAATAAAGCCATTGTCGTTGATGGCGGGAAGTTTCCCCATGGGGTTGATCTTCAGGAACCACTCAGATTTGTGTTCTCCTGGGTAGGAAAGAAATCAAAATTCTACATTCATCTCTATATCATCGTAAATTTCTTCTGAATCAATAGATGTAAAACATCCAAAATATATGATTTATGAATGAGTTCTTTTGTTACAATTACATGTATGTAGGCCAATTAGACACAATGCATGATGTGCCCATAGCAGTTCATGCTTAGAACTCTATCCTCCTTGAAAAAATGTAGACTGTTGGACTTTGTTCAGCACTTAATCAATAACCACTTTTCTGAATGAAGAAATAAAAAAAAACTTAGACTTTATTACGAGAAAAACTCTTTTATGTTTTGGATGTAATAATTGTTTGTCAAGTTTATATTCTTCTAACACACACACACACTGTTACTCCAAGAAACGTAACATCAGGGTAGTGAAACTTTGTAAACATTGGACGCTGGCAACGTGGCAGAATGAGTTATTGATTTGTTAGCTGTTTTGCTAAACAACAAGCTTCGCACGGAGGAATGCCAATCCAAAAGCATAACAACGTTAGATCAAAATTTTTGCATCTTCAATTTTACACTGTCACAGCAAGGAGGTGTGGTGACAGGCGTCACTAAACGTTGACTTAGCTGAGACAGCAAATTGTACCTGTTGTAGTGATATATTACATTTCCAGAGCTGAGTTCAAAAGTTCATTTCGCCCCTCCCCCTCTTTTCTTACCTTTCCTGATCGCTACCGGGTGGTCTTTGTAAACTATGTTGTTCGCCTTGAGAAACTGGAAGATGGCCCGCGAGGGCTGCGACATTATGTCGTAGTAAAACGTTAACATGGCTGCAAAATTTGGGGTAGATTTGCAGCTTGTCTAGAAAAACACACGAACTAAAACTTCTGCTAGGATGAAATCCGGGTCAAAGAGCAATGACCGCCAGGGCATGTCAACCAAAGGAGACTGACCAATCACAGACCATTTTACAAATGTAGGACAGAAACAGCGCGTGATTGGTTGAATTGGACCAATCACAGCACAGCAAAGTTTTGAAACGAGATTCAAGATGGCAGACGTCCTGAGAGGGCGAAACGTTGCCGATGGTCAAAATAATGACAGAAAACAAGGGAAATTGGTAACTATACTAGGTATTGACTGCACAGGGAAACATAGGAAGTACTGAAGAGTATAAGACGTGATATTTGTGTATTTCCCTTGGCTTAAGGCGCCCGGCGTTAGGCATTTCCTAACGTTGGGGTGGGAGGGGGGTAACATCGTCTAGGAAATTTCATTGTCATGGGCCTCATAAATTATAATTTCTGTGCGAAATTCAGTCTTGACTTGTCTCAATTATCAGGATGCCAATATATCGCATGAAGAGTCTGACGCTGCCCTCAAGAAATATGAAAAGGTAAGGCCTGGCCTCTAGTTCTATGTAAATTTATGATTTAAAATTATGAAGTGCCAAATTACACACTCAAAATTATCATACAAGGAATCTGATGTTCTTGTTTTGAAGGTTGATTAAGACTAAATGGTTACCATTCCATGAATGTTGCAACATGTTTATTTTTATGTAGAAAACAGCTTGGCAAAGGTAATTAGGGATTATGAAGTAAAGTGTATTGTTAATATGTACTGGAATGTGTAGGTTTTATACTGTCTCTATGAATTTTTATACTACACTGAGTATTGTATGTAGGGTGCAATTTGGACTAACCAGGCCCGCAGGTCCCTTCACAAAAAAAAAAAAATTGAACTTGATACAAGTAAATACATCCTCCAATAGTCACAGGGGCCTGGGCTAATGAATACTAAGTGAAATGTACCATGTTTTCCTTCCCATTATGTATGTAGGGCCTGGATGTGTGGGTGCAGGATGACACGCTAGTCTGGGTACAGGCCACCGTCGTGGGCACCATGAAAGACGGCAGGATCATCGTCAGAGTTGGGCCTGGCCAGGTACAATATGATCAGAACCCTTCAGTTCAATCATTGCAATTACAATATATACTACATTTTGTACTAATAACTACGACTAATAGTAATACAGCAGACATGTTATATATCATATGCATTTAGTAAGGTGGAAACTGGTTTCACCTGGTTGCCAAGATTTTTCGTCGCTCTTTTGTTCTTCCTGACAGTACTTCTTATAAGATGGAAGACTGCGAGGGTGATAATGATTAGTAATTAGCCCCTCAAGATATATTTCTCACTGACGACAGCCTCCCTACAGCATCCCATGTCTGTTGTCATTAATCATCTAAGACTTGATACCAATCCTTTGTTTCTGACTACATTTGCTTGAGGGGGAAGAATGTACATTCCTACATGATTGGCCCTAATGTAATGATTGAGTTCCACTTTGCCTTTGGGGCAGCATCACTGTCCATTTTCTCAATGTAATTTGTTAACTTTTATTTTTACTCCTTGTTGTAGCTGTAACCAGTTACCTATCACTAGTATGTACTCAGGGACACCTGAAAAACAGGGTCCACTGGGGAAATAAATAAAAGGAAGGAATTTGCCAGAAATGTGCTTGGTTGAACGTTCAGACTAGTTGTTTGTTATTACAAAGTAAGAGTGAGGCTAACTGCTTTTTAGCCTTTTCCAGTTGAAAGTTGAAAAATGTTCTGTTGTAAGTTATAGTGCATTTGAATGGGTGTTACATACAAGTTGTCACAGGTGTCTGAATATTTGGCAGGATTCTGTAGTGTGGGTGAAGGGAGACTACCCACAGCTGTGTGGGGAGAACAACTTTGTGGACACAGAAGACCTCACCAGACTCAACCCACTAACAGAGCCAGCAGGTAGGACTTATCTAGCACATCGGTTGAACGTACTGCAGCTGCACGAAACTCGCAATGTATTGTGCATTCAGTCAGTTCATCAGTTTAGTTCATCCATTTTCAGGTGACACCATGTGCTGTCTCCACAAGTTCCTGTCACGCATGACAGAGGACAGTTCAACACCACCCAGACGTTATTGTGCATAGCTTGGCAGAATGTCTATTGCTGTCAAATGTTGTATTGGAAAAGATATGTTCTGAAATTGGAAAAATTCGGGTGCAACGGTTCATTAAACATCCAAGGAAAACAGTAAAAAGAAGCCGGGTTTCAGCAGGCCCATTAAATTGATTAATTTACATTCTGCTGATGCCCTGACTTATAAATATGCAAACCTTCACCTTCAACTTTGACAATCCATGAACAGTCTTCATCTCAGCTTGCAATTGCCTATTTTTCAATTTCAATTTTTGTAACATTTTGTACATTTTCTATGTGTTTTACATGTACTTCTTACCTCCATAGTGTTACACTGTATCCATGAGCGGTACAAGCAGGGTGAGTACTACACCACAGCAGGCATCACCCTGGTGGCAGTCAACCCTTTCAGCACTGTCCCCAGCCTCTACAGCCAGGCAAAGATACAGCTCTACAGCTCAGCACTGCCACAGGACATAAAGGTCAGCAATTAAGTACTTAGATTTTTAAATAAATGTTTTTAACATGCAAAAATTTTGTTGTCATTTGTTTGACTGTTAGCTTGGGTGCTGGTCCAAAAAGGCTCAGTAGCAAATCAGATGGCATCCAGGTTACTTGATTGTTGCTACATGTAAGTTGTTGCAAAACAGCCAAAGTGAATGACTTTCACTTGATAAAATCTTCTAGAGATGGGTTCTGTGAACTTCTGCCTGATGGAAACTACTAAAAAAAATAAAATAAAACTTTACTACCTACCCGGTATTACATGTACATACTGTGCTTTCAATTTTGGTGAATTCTTTATGGGTACTGAACATATAGATCTCGTGTGTTGTTGTGTGCAGGACCTGCCACCCCACGTGTTTGCAGTAGCACAGCAGGCCTTCGGTAACCTGTCCAGAGGCCTGGGGAGCCAGGCTATCATTGTCAGTGGGGAGAGTGGAGCAGGCAAGGTGAGGCTGTTGTAATCTATTTGCTAGTTAACCACTAGAAGACTAAGTTTTCTTGGAAACAATATTTGTGTGACATGTATAGAGAATGCTACAGGTCACACTGACTCTTTGATTATTGTCTTCTTTCCTAATTTATTCATCAATAATATCCATGCAGATAGAACAATATGGATGCTATAAGAATTGCCTACTCACTCACTCACTCACTCACTCACTCACTCACTCACTCACTCACTCACTCACTCACTCACTCACTCACTCACTCACTCACTCACTCACTCACTCACCCACCCACCCACTCACTCACTCACTCACTCACTGTCTTCTGAGGGTTAGACGTGCTTGTACTGTGGTACTGCGGCTATGTATGTATTGTGTGTTTCAGACCTGGACGGCTCGATGTCTTATGAGATACCTGGCGACAACTTCAGCAGGAAAGAGGCTACCTGGGTAAAAACTTTTTTTTTCTTTCAAACAATCAGGATCAGCTAGTTCTCAATCTCCTGAAGTTTTGTACAGTCTGAGTGTGAATGAAATTTTTAGCTGTAATCATAAAGATATACATTTTAACCAGGCATTTCTAATGGTCAAAAATGAAGAAGCTTACTTAGTACTTCCTAGCATTAGAATTACTCTGTTATTTTCTCATATGTGTTTTTGTCCCTCTACTCCACAGGCAAAGAACTCCAACCAGTATTGTGAAGATAGAGAAGAGAATACTTGACTCCAACCCTATACTGGAAGCATTCGGTATCTACTAGTGTTTAGCTAATTTTATTTCAGTGGTATACTATTGCAGCTATTCTATTTTCCATATATTTAGTAGTTTTACGTCAGAGAAAGTGAAGACCAGACGAAACGAGTTATTTTGTTTGTTTTTCACCCGTATAGGAAATGCTGGAACAGTGAGGAACCACAACAGCAGTAGGTTTGGAAAGTTTATTCAGCTGCAGTTCAACAGGTAAGTGTAGGGTGGCACTGCAAACACTTAGCTTGACCCAGCATCTCGTGTTGCAGCATAAGCATTCAATTTTCAACTTTTAAACTTAACCAAAGGAGTGGGACAGACAGTTTGAATACTAGTATACAGTAAATCAACTTGTTGTAGTTTAATTTCTTATGATGTTCAGACATTTTTACAGCCATTCACAAGATATTAAAAGCATACACGGTCAACGATGAAGAATGGAAGCTATAGACTATTTTAGAAACAAATATTTTCATGTAACAAAATGAGAAAAATATTTGCTTTGTTTGTCTCAGGTCTTGCCATCTGGTTGGTGCCTCCATACAGACCTATCTGCTGGAGAAGACCAGAGTTGTACACCAGGCACAGAGAGAGAGGAACTACCACATCTTCTACCAGGTCAGGGCTACTACTAGCACACCTGGCTCAGGGCTTGAAATATTGTTTTTCTGCATACCTGCACCGGACACACTTTATCTATTTAAGGATCATACGGATCATACTATAAACTTTTCAGAAGGTATTATTATTCTTTAAACTCCATAGGTGGTAACAATCATAGCCTGACTAAATTGCACAGCTGGCTAACCCACCTGAAAGTTGCCACCCCCTTGGGGTGGAGGTCATTTACCTCTGGCAACTAGAGCTTGTGTAAACACAGACTATAGTAGCAGTCAATGCTGCAAACAAATATCCACATACATGTACACCTACATGTACATGTTTGTATTAAGTATATCACCAAACATATCCACGCAATGAAAGCAAAAAAGAAGACGGAAAAATATGTTTTGTCCTGTAGCTGTACCATGGCATCAGTGATGAGGAGAGAGAGTTACTGGGACTGGGAGGAGGGGAAGAGGAGGAGGAAGAGGAGTACCAGTTTGAGTGGCTCCCTACAGATGACTCACAGAACGACAGTGGTGAGGACAGTTTTGTTCTTCCTCTTGTGTCTGCATTAAGGTTGCATTGTCTTACTCTTTTTTGTATCCAGGGGCACTGGAAAAACAGGTCTTGGACCTGAGTGTGACCTACTCGTAGAATCAATGAAAATGAATGAAAAAATTAATGGCTAGAATTTTTGTCTGTTGTAACAAAAGCTTAGCAAACAAGCTGGAGCCCTGATGCCAAGGAAATAGAATACAGTCAGTAGTATGATTTCCTGCAAGAATACTAGTAGCCTGACTGTTTTTATGTTCCTCCTTTCAGATGAAGACTGGTCGTCTTTTGCCATTACCCGTCAGGCTATGACAAGTTTGGGTATCGGAAAGTGTCAGCAGCAAGAGATATTCATGGTGAGATTGGGAGGAGTTTTGCTTCTCTCTTAGTGAAATAGCTTTGGACTGTTTTATAGGACATTATGCTGTACTGACTTGCATTTCTAGTGGTTTTAGGCTGCTACAAATTGGCGTGTTCAGCATTTTGATTTTTGTGTGCCATGTCCAGCTCCTAAGTGCCATTCTGCACCTCGGAAACATCGTGTTCAACAGTGAGGCTCATGATGACGGCTGCCCCTGTACTATAGAGGAGGACAGTCAAAGTAAGTCTCATTTTCCCTGTAAAATTCATAGGTAAAAAAAGTGTAGAAAGGAAGTGTTTTTAGATTATCCTGTAGTTCAATTTTGAGCAATTTTGAAAGTACAACTTTCATGATTTGAATGCTACAACTCCTACAGTTAGATCAGATGAGTTGATATGCTGATTCAGATACAGATAAAAAAGTTATTATTTTCACCCATAGGATGTCAGCGTTCTCTGCGTACCGTATGTTCGTTGTTGGGTGTGGATGAGGATGCCCTGGGAAGATGCCTGACGTACCGACGGATCACTGCAGCGCCAGGCCGCAGGAAAAGTGTCTTCATGAAGCCCTGCAAGCCTGCCGAGTGTCTCGCCAGGCGGGACTGTCTCGCTAAACTGCTCTACGCAAGGTGTTAGAGTCATGATTTTTTTTGGGATAGCTTCTAGACATTTAATTATTTTGGGGCTCCAAGAGCAGCTCTTCTCCATAAGTCAGAAGCATCAATGCTAGAGACGATTACAGTTTAATAAGTTTGACTCACTGAGAGTGAGGACTGACTGACTATGAGATGCTGAAGGGTAGAACATTCCCTTCCCCATGTCCATAGTCATAGTTACAGTAGAATTTTCAGTATTCTATTCTCTGTTTAGTGTCTTTAGACTGTTACATTCCTATAGCCTGGGTACCATCCTAGTTAGTTTACTGGTTGGTGGTAGGGACTGTGGGAGCGGACGTAAACTAACCAGGATGGTACCCAGTCTAACATTCCTATCTAAATTGTTATAACCCAGTAATGTTGTTTCCTAATTTATAGGTTGTTTGACTGGATTGTGGACATCATAAACAAGAACATCTGTGGGGAGCAAGTAGAATGGAAGTCTTTCATTGGTAATTATGTCTTGCCTTTTTTTTAAATATAGATACAGAACGATCATTATGTATGTCATACTTATTCATCCGTTATTGTAATGAATGCAATAGACAGCCTACTTAGTGTGCTGTTGGTTCCAATTCTCTGAAGTTTACCATAGTCATCGTCCAAAAGAATGTGCAAAGTCTTGGACAACTGCAATGAGTATAAACAATTTAGAATGACGTTGTTATTGATGCTTCCAGGTTTGCTTGATGTCTATGGGTTTGAGAGTTTCCCTGACAACAGCCTGGAGCAGCTGTGCATAAATTATGCGAATGAGAAGCTCCAGCAGCATTTTGTGCACCACTTCCTCAGAGCTCAACAGGTACAAGATCCTTAACCTGTATTTTGATGGTAATCTGTAACATATGATGTCTTGATATTTTCATTTCCTACATCCCATCCCAACACATCATATTATATTATTCAAGCCAATTTTAATATAATTGTTTTCTAAAGTCATTCTTGACTCATAGAATGGTACATTATTTATCATTGATTTTCCCAAAAGCAGTGACAGTTTTAGTCCAATATAGAAGAATGCCTTATCTATTTTTTTATTGCATTTCACTGAAAACAATACCATACCATACAAATAAAAGAAATAGAAAACAAGAACAAGTACAGATGGTAAACCACGGATTAAACAATAAATGATGCTTTAGCCTACGTTTATTCTTCTATTTGTTATGCCTTATGCTACGTAGCATAAGGCATAACAAATAGAAGAATAAACGTAGGCTAAAGCAACATTACACCTTATTTACTTTGTCTTTAGGAGGAATATGAGGAGGAGATGATCCCCTGGAACTACTGTCAGTTTGTGGACAACAGAGACTGTCTGGAACTCATTGAGGGGAAGATCAGCGTCTTTGCACTCGTCAACGAGGTTTGGAACAAGAAACATTTTTTTCCAAAATCTAGAATAATTTAGGGGAAAATGTACACGAGGTCTACAAACCTGAGGCAGTCAAAATTTACTTCCTATCCTAATCTAGTTCGAACAGTTAAAACTTATGACACTTTTCAAGTTTGCATTGGAATTATACAATAATGTAGGCGGGGGGATAAGTCTTAGAATGTTTCATGCATTTTATCAGGAAAAGGGAAAAGAACTCATGAATTTTTGATTTTGCCTTTTTGTCTTATATTCTTTCCCACTTACTTCTGTAAGCAATCATTTTTAACTGTGTACTACTTTTTAGAAGTAGCTGCTGCTGCATTTAGAAGCAGCACAAATGACACTGTGTTCTAACCACAGGAGTGTCGGCTGAACCGTCCCTCAGACAGCCTCCAGCTTGCCGACAGGATCCACTCGACCCTGGGGGCCAGCAGACACATCTCCCGACGTAAGTCCATCCAGGGACAGGCTGCCTTCACTGTGCACCACTACGCAGACAGGGTCTCCTACCAGCTGGATGGCTTCGTGGAGAAGAACAAGGTGCTTTAAAACTTGCTGTCATTTTCATACATGTTGAACAGACCTGTCCTTGGTGCTGAAGGCTGTTAACACACATGGAATAGCCCTGTCCTTGGTGCTGAAATACCTGTCTTGGTGGTATTTCTGTTGAAAATGGAAACAAAAGAATTGATCTGAAACTGTAGAGAGCTGATTTTCCACAGCAAAGACAGATGGAATATACAGTATGTTGGTGTGTCATTCAGAAGGGCAGGTATACCAGCTAGACAGATATATACAGGTAGAGTAGTACTATATTGAAGAATGCATATACATGTAAGCATAGTGAACAACTTGCACCATGGTTCAACTGGACCATCCATGTAGTCCTAAGGAATCTTTCCCAGTAGCTATAGCATGCATGCATTTCAAGTGAGAGACAACCGCCAGGTTTTGAACTCCTGAGCCAGAGACAGCTAGGGGCACTGCATGCTTCTTTTCAGTTTTCTTGTCATCTGAAGATTTAAAATAGCATGATTGTGTATTTTCTACCGTTGCCAGGATGCTGTGCCTGAGGAACTGATGGAACTAATCTCACAGAGCGGGAACAAGTTTGTGAGCAGCTTGGTCGGAGGCATGGCCGTGACAGAAGATCCCTCTACCAAAAAGGGGAGGACAGCTAGGACTGTAGTCTCCAAGTTCAAGGTTCTTTGAGCACTTTTAATTATGAAGCTTATTCAGGATATATAGACTCCTCTGATGTTCATTTTTTGCACTTTAACCTGTTTTGATGGTTCAAGTTTTTCCTAGTATGCTCTATCTAATTGCTTTGTGGCAATTTTGGCTTCTTCTATACGACCTATGCAACAGAAAGATCCACTTGATTGATGTAATACTTGACTATTCTTTTCCAGGCTTCCCTTGACAAACTGATGCAAACCCTTGAGTCCACCTCCCCACACTACATCCGCTGTATCAAACCCAACATCCAGTCCAGGCCTGGTGTCTTTGACAGGAAACACGTAAGTCAATGTACCTTGTACATACCGCACATTTGGAATGTTTAGAGTAGGTCTCAATAGGAAAGATGGTAATCTCCAAGCAGATCTTTTGGTGGCTGCAATACAGACTACAGTATCAAATTGGCAAAACAGTATCAAATTGGCCAGGCAGTATTCAAAATGCCACCTAGCATTAAAAAAAAAAGATACCAACACAAAAAATAAAGCCCAATAAAACACACACAACTCTAAAGTAACACTTGACTTGACTTGACTTGACTTTTACCAACAAGCCCCCCTGTCCCCCTCTGCAGGTTGAGAGCCAGCTGCAGGCGTGTGGGGTTCTGGAGACAGTGAACATCAGCAGGCTGAGTTACCCCTGCCGCCTGGCCTACCCAGCATTCCTGGAGAGGTACGGCATCATCATGAGGACTGCTGCAGATCAGGTCAGAACAGGTTTTATTTAAGTAGTACTTTTATTCAAAGAAATGCAAATAGAAGCTAGCCTGGGTACCATCGGATGATCCTGGTTAGTTTATGTCTGCTAGCGACTGCAGGAGCAGACGTGAACTAACCAGGATGGTACCTAGGCTTAATAGAAGCCACAAGCACAAAACACCTCTGATTCAACTTTGTGTCCCAACTGTGGCTGGGATTGCCATGTGTGCAGATAGGGCTGATAAGCTACACTAGACACTGTACATAGCCACAACACCAGACCTAGAGTGTTACCATCATCTTTCGAGGTGGAAGGATGACTACTGACCTGACTTCTACTCACCACAAAACAAGGTTAATTGTAAGCCACCTAGATGTTTTGGACATTATGTTAGCTTGAAAATGATGACAGATATCTGTTCACCTTTTTTTCTGCAGGCTACCAGTAGCAGGTCGAGTGTGTCCAGTTTGTCCTCCCTGTCGGATGAAAACCTGGACACAGAGAACATGGACCCACAGGAGATCCTCCTGAGAAGGAACCTGGCAGCAGGTGGAACACCTGGAACACCTGGCAAGAGGAGGAGGAGGAGGACAGCAAGAAGAACAGGTAAGAGAACATGATGTCTTTGTAAGTTGCATGCACTGGAAATAGTACTTAACAATACTAGAAGTGATCTTCTTTTCATCCCACATGCAATACATATTTGATTGTGCTACTGACAGTCAGTGTTTTAAGCATATAGATTTTACATTGTAAATGTGAGCACATATGAATTTCTTACCCACTTACTTAGAGATAGAAGTGAAACCTGCCACTTGACTACTGGTATACCTATATGAAATAGGTGATTTAATTATAGTGCAACAGTGTATATAATTTAGTGATTTATAGTCATATACCACTATTGTTTGTTAAGTAACACTTGTTACTTGTTACCAGACAAGTCCCTTATTAAAGTTAACTCTGATCCTGTCCCCAGCTGTAGGGATTGAGCACCATGCAAGGCAGTGCTGCCAGGCCATCCTGAGAGTAGTGTTTGGACCCAACCTCACACAGCAGCAAGTGCAGTATGGGAAGACAAAGGTGTTTCTGGGACATGGCATGGTGAGTCGTTTCATGATAAACCAACTGGCCTGAGTGCAGTATGGAAGAAATGATTTCTCATGTGATCTAATATTTTAAGTAGAGCATTTTAAAACTCTTTTATTTTCTAATAAGTTATTTCATGTCATAGCTATTACCAAATCGTCTACTGAGGAAATGATGCAAGTATTAGCTTAAAGCTGTAGAAAACAGGGTCACCTTTGTGTTTAAAGTGAAAGACAAGTTTGTTTCAATCTTGAAATAAGACAAAGCTTTCCTTGTGTTGATAGTTTTATTTACACATCATTTTTAAGGATGATGAAAACCATATTTGTTGTTTGAATCCTGTCAAAAATGCTGCCATTTCAGTTTGACGAGTTGGAGTCTGCACGAGCCCGCCTGCTATCCCAGAATGCCTTCACCATCCAGTGCTGCTGGAGGAGGTACAAGCGGAGGAAGGTTGCCATGGCAACAGCCGCACTCACCATCCAGAGATGTACGACACCGATGAAATATTACAGACTGGTGTTCATAATGTAGTTTAGAGAGACTTTAGACTGATACATGTATCTTTGCTCAACTTGTTGCCAGATAACTACGGAGTGTTTAGGGAACTACGTGTATTATAAAAATGAACAAAATGTAGTAGAAAATATGCCCAGATTTGACATATTCAATCTTCTTGCCACTGTGCAATCATTCAGGAAACAAATTCATACTGCTTATTGCAAATGTCAGTATAAAGCAGCCAGCTAAGGTAGCCTTTTGGCAACAAATTTGTACTGGTTAGTAGTTTACACAATCGGGAGATGGTTAAATCAGGTTGGCATTGTAGCTCTCCATTATTGAGGAATGGCTACATTTGTATTTATGTTTTTACAACTCCTCACCTCTTATTGCTGTGCTACTCAGACTTCCGTGGATGGAAGGCTCGGCATTACATCAGAACCCTGCACTGGGCAGCTCGCATCATCCAGAGGGCCTTCCTACAGCACATGCTGAGGAGGGTACAGGACAGACTGGAGGAGGACACAGAGGACTCAATACTCGGGCTGGAGGAGGAGGTCAGTGTTTTTTTTGTTTATTTGCTTGTTTGTTTGGATTCTTCTGTCTGTAATGACTCACAAACAGTTCTTGAGGCTCAACTTTGCTTTTTGCACCTCATAAGGAGGAGGAGTGGTGATTACGGATCTTCATAATTTCTCCATTATATCTTCTGTGTAATACTAGTATCATTGCACTGGAAATCATGTTTAAAGATGCATGGTGAAAAACAAAATACATGTACCTGGTAAACTGGTGAAACCTTTGTGTTTACTTGTGATCTAGCCAACCACAAAGTCTGACAGTGTTTAAACATTTATTTTATTTATTTATTTAAATTGCAAACAATACAGTGCAATACAGTGGAAGCCCTGGCAGCTGAGCTGATGTCGGGCCCCACATTGTGAAATACATACATACATAACACAATAAAGTAACGTGTTTAAACATCCTTCTAAGCTGATAAAATTTGAAAAAAAAAATCAGCACATCTCAAACAGTCTCTATTTCAATAGATAAATGTATGTCAGAAACAAACTGCTCATGTCCAATGACCTTCACAGATGGAACATGCCCTGTCCGGCATCGACCTTGACCCCATTGTCATGGATCACGAGGCCCCGGTTACCTTGGAAACAAGCCATAATGATACAGTTGGCGACATGGCGGACACCCGTGAGTTTGAAGCTCAGCTGAGGTGGAGAATGGAAGCCGACTGCAGTGGGAGGGAGTCCAGTCTGTATGAAGACTCGCTGACAATCCGAGAAATGGGGACATACGACAATAGGTTTTCTGGGGAGAGAGAACAGAGAAGGTGGCTGGACAGGACAATCTTCCAGAGAGAGGGAATCGCCTCCATAAGACAAGTTCTCAAGGTATTTAAGAAATTTTTATGCAATCTGCTTTGTTTGGGGGGAAGAGTTCACTAATTGAATAGTATTTTTATTGCCTACTAAGTGAGCTTCAGTGCTACAAACAGTGCATAAAAAGAGACGTTCCCCATGTAGTTTCATTTCAGTGACAGTTTTATACATAAATTATTGCTAGATACACAGACAAAAAAATGAATTGCAGCCCTGATTTGATTCCTTTGTGCTACCTTTGTAGACTTGTGTAGCTTAATGTTTATTTTCTGTTGTCCCCAGGGTCCCATTGTGCTGCATGTGAAGTCTTCTGTACTTGCCTTCTCCAACACCTGTCCATGGATCGACACTGCCTACAGTCTCTCTGATGTACTCAGGTTTTAAAGACATTTCATCTGCCACCATAAAAGACTAATAATCATGTATATGTCTGTACATGTGTAAAAAGCCATACTTTCCTTGGATCTGATACCCTTGCAGCAATACTGCTTTAAGAGCAGTTTTCGAACCTTGAAAAATTGCTTCTATAGACAAGAAATATATTATGCAAGTAGACATGCAGCTTTTCCAATAAATTTCTGTACATTTCTAGGACATTTTGTGTAGGGTGAAGTAAGGATTATCAAGATGTACCTTGCCTTTAATTATCATACATAAATGGACTACAATCGTTCCATGTCTGGCATTTTCTTTTCCCTCCTTATGTATAAAAAGCCTTAGATTCTAGTTAGAATCTATTTGCACATATGACACGTAAAAAAAAAACAACAAGAAACTACTGTTCTGATAAAAAGTAAATTTGTCTCATTAGCAAAGATCTTAAAGTTTATATATAATTTTCCTCGCTTTGGTGGTGTATTTTATGTCAGATGCTCTGTTGTGTAATGTCAAGTCCAAAGACTGTATTCACTGCTGCTGCAACGTGAGATGAGAGTAAATCCTACTTAAAATAAGGAATAGAAATGGTTTCTGCTGTATCACTATGTGCCTGAATAAATGATATGGATGAAAGCCTAGTATTTCAGTCTTCCCTACCAAAATGGCATGGCCCCTGTCCCTGGTGCTGAATGATACTCCCATGCATTTAGTGACAGTGCTTCTACTTTGTTTAGTTCTCAATGGCCAAGCTAGCCAAACTACTGCTGCTAACCCTGATGCTGTCATACAGTGGTCTGTACCAGGCTCTCCAGAAGTTGGCCAAATAGGCTGAATAGTATTAGTAATGTAATGTTACATGTATACCAAAGAAGTTGGCAGGAACCCAGGTGCAATGTGTACTCCATTGACTGGCTCACTCCTCTGGCATACTATTCAGTCTATTTTGCCAATTTCCACTCTTTTGTCGCATCCGGGGAGCACGGTGCGGGGAGGGGGTAGATCAGGGGTAGATGTTGGTCATGTAGCACTGCTAGCGGTTATACAGCTACACGATCAAATAATCAGAGTGAATCATTGAACTCTGACCTTTATCATTTTTCGGGTAAGTCTATTCGTTGAAGGGGGTAAATGTTCAGTATATGTATAAATTATCATGACAAATTTATGAAACATTCTTTTCAACTTTGTCAATTGAAATATTTTATTAATTTTGTTTAATCCTTATGATATCGTGTTAAATGTATAAACCATGATGTGTACTTTTAAAGGATTGACAAACACCCCTCTATCAAAGTGGTTGAGCCCTGTTGAACTCGGAAGCCAGCTAAACAGCTCAGCTAAAACCAAAACCACTGTCCGATGACAATGAGTCACCGCCTACAAGCTTTTACTAGCTTCAGTTTTGCTCTATAAGTATTTGACAGCTGTTAATGTCAGTATACCAGAGTTAACTGAAAGGAGTACAACTTCTTTTCTACGGAAAATGGGCGGAACAACCTCCAAGAAGTACGAGAACAGGGAGGGATCAAGCGAACCAGGGTTGGACAAAAACGAACAAGGAACTGATCAGACCAACGAGCTTTCAGTTTCATACGAAGGTTTCGACATCGCCCTAGTTCCCGATGAAGTTCTAGTTCTTGTTTTGTCATTTCTTCCCGGCAAAGAGTTGGTCCAGAACGCTCGCCCTGTGTGTAAGGCCTGGAGAGACACTGTTGACCGCCCGACGATATGGAGAAAGAAATGTTTGCGGGAGGGACGATTTGTGGTCGGGCAGATGGGTCCTCAGCCGGACGACTGGAGGACGTTCTATTTCAAGAACCCGTACAGGAGAAACCTGGTCAAGAACCCGTCTGGGGAAGGTGAGAAACTTATTTTTTTGTGAACAGAAAGGCGGGATAGGCTAGCATGCATTTTGTAGGCATGGCCATGCGTGGTTTACTATTATCATCAGATGATGCTAACGTTATAAATAAATCTCCAAGCAGATGTTTTGGAATAGAAACTTGCGCATTATGCAACATTTTTGTTGCACCAAAAATTGAAGTATTTTAATTGAAAAAAAAATCTTAGTGTGACATTATATATTTGTGCAATTATTTCACATTTCTGCCATTTATGGTTGGTGCCAAAACTGCCCACACAAATATGCACACTCAGTTTGTGGGGCCACCACAAAATACTAGAATGTAAACAAACATGGCTGCAAGCTGTGTTTCCAGCTTTAAAACACACTTGCATCTACTTTTGAAATTGGCCAGATTTTGAAAATAGAGATATGAACCTATTAAACTCGGCTAACTGTTTAAAATGATCATTACTGTAAGACTATAACAACAGTACAGTTTGTGTAGTAATGTTACTGGTAGGTATAATTGTACAATAGCATTACAACACTGATGGATTTTTAAAAGTGTCTTCTATTTATAACATCCTTTTCAGAGGGAATGCGTCACTGGGAGGTGTTGGAAAATGGAGGTGAGGGCTGGAAGGTGGAGAAGTTTGTGGGCTGTAAGGCTTTTCCCAATCCTGCTGTTCAGAGCAATTTTGTCACATCATACGGCTGGGCTGTTCGTGAGCAGCAGATCGACCTCCTTGCCGAGGGCTGCCAGGAAAAGTGTCTCGACGAAACGCAACCAAGTATCGAGGTGTCTGAATGGTAAGCAAAACCGTATTCGTATGCATTTCAGTGTAGCTTGAACCAGTTTAGGATAGGATAAACAAGCAAACCGCTTTCTGTCAGTGACATCACATTTTTGCCTCACAGATAGATATCAGTAAGCTATGGGATCGAGTTGATCCAACTTACTACATTTATAAATTGAATTTCTATCAATTTCTATATGGACTTGAAAATCCAGTTTTACTTACCGCTTACCCAGTTTTACTGGGTGCCTTTAAATTGCTACCTTTGAAGGTGATTTGGCTCTTTAGTCGACTTCAGAACTCTCCAAGCTAGTTGAGGTAGCATAGATTTCCAGCATCAGTACTACCATTGTAATTTTCTGTGTGTATTACATGCATCCAATCTGGAATCTACAGTATATCTCCAATTCTTTCCCACAAGCTACCCTTTTTATTCCCAACAGGTATGCCCCTAGATGGGACTGTGGGAGTAAGTACGAGCTGGAAGTTCAACTACTGGATAAGAAAAAGAAAGTTGTGGACACCTTCCACTACGGGCCCGCTGTTACAGAACAGTGGAATGAGTCACAATGGAAGGAAGTAAGGGAACCTGTGTTGCTGCAGTAGCATGGAAGATAACACTCACAATATATTGCTTACTTTCGAATTCTATGTCCACATAGTAGTCTAGCACATTGACATAATGTACTAAAGCTGGGCAAAACATTGATTTTCCACAATTTTCTTTGGTTGTTTGGCCAATGTTGGATCAGAATGCAGATGATATCTTTTCTGAGAGAACATTAATTTTTGTTGTTGTTGAAAACTATAGATGTCATGTCATCCTTTCAGAAATACATTGTATACTCTGCCAGAGCGCTGTGCACAACCAATTAGCCTGGTTACCAAACCTGTTATAGCTCCCAAGTCCTACATGCTTTCTGCAACATTTCCTCTTTCCTTTGTGGACAATAAGAACTCAATGTCACATTCTTCTTGTGTTGCAGGCGATGCACATCTTCAGTAATTATGGGCCTGGGGTGAGATACGTGCTGTTTAAAGACAAGGGCTCAGATACACAGTTCTGGGCAGGGCACTATGGCAGTAAGATGACTTGTGCAAGTGTAAAGTTCATATTTCAGTAGCTACATTGAAGACATCCGTGAATAATTTCATCAGGTTGGTAAACGACTGAATAGCAAAGTTCTTTCTATCACAACCATTTATTTTTCAAGCCGACTTTTCGATGACCTTCTGTCATCTTCATCAGGGCAATTCTGACTGGTTTACTGGTTTACATTGAAGACAATCATCAACTTTGTTATGTGAGTCTGTACAGGATAGTATTGTAAATTGGTGTCAATAAGCTGACTTTTGGAGGTAAAATCATGTTCTTACTGCTATAGACATCACTACGTTCAAGTTTGGTGGGGTTATGTTAAAAATCATTCTTCAATCTCATTTGCATACATTGATTCACCATATTGAAGCACACATAATTATTGCACCTCTGTAAGTCATTATGAACATTTTATAACCTACATGTAAATTGTAGTTTGTTTGCAGTACTCAAACATGAAGTAAAATTTAGTAAGACCTGTTCTCCATACATGTACAAACTAAGATCTGATTAACTACTTAGTATTAAACATGAAAAATCACCTCAGGATATTACAGAAGCTTCTAGTTACGTATGTGTGGAATATACAGTCATGGAAGATATATGAGATAACATAAATCATTACGATATACCTTACACTACAAGAGGCATGTGCATGGCTACCTGATCCACATAATTAAGAAGATTCAAGATATATATGCACAGCACATTGGGATGTATAGAAGATTACAATTTGTTATTACAACAATATTACAATATGTTATGTCTAAAGTTAAAGTAAAAGTTGAAGTTATGGCAAAACAGTAACAACATTATTACAAGGCTGACCATCTTTACAGAGAATGGTAAAAAAATGTACAGTTATGTTGGCAAATTTCTTTGGATGTTTATAAATTATCATTTTTTAAAAGTCTTTCAAGTTATTTCAGATTTCCAGCTCAATTTTCTATGAGTCTATAGCAGCAATGGCACCCTGCATTACCTTGTTAATATGCAATGATATCCATCATATACTATAATTTCACATTGAAAGTACATACAATTGTCTCTTTATCCTAATTTTGCCTAGAGCTTTATTTGATAAGGAGCTCATTTCATCCACATAAATTATAGGATGTGCAATTTCAATGAATCATAATGTACATTTTCAAACCATTCCGAGTTAACATATACAATTCAACAAAGGAAAATATAAAAGCAAACATATACCAACAAGGATGCTACTGTAAGGCCTTTTGTCTGTATCCTACTGGTTCTGTATCCTACTGATCTTTTTAACTTTGGAATTGACAACACTTATTGTGGTAATTTATCTTTCAACTGTACAGAAGTTTTCAGATCCAAGTGTAAGATGTGAATCTGATGTACCATAAAAATAAATGAACTCGTTTTCCACAACAAACAATATGTTGCCTTCAACATACTGATATGATCCTTTTTTGACATTATGTAGATACTATATTAACAACTGTGAAATTGTGTTTCTAGAGTGAAAACAAAAAAGTTAAATGTCTTAGTCTAAAAGTACTGTCTGTAGGTGCAATTCAAAATACCTTGGTACCCACTACAAAATTCAACAATGACACTGATAACAACTATGGCAAAGCAGACTTTTTCATTAAATTTTGTTACAACTTGCTAAATTTTGTTACGTGCTTGTGACAGGTATATTTTGGTTTCTGTAATCCGAGGGTTACTATTGGCTACTGAAGAAGAACATGACAACTCATAATAGTCACCCTCTGGCTGGCTATAATTCCTCTGGAAAATTTTTCAAGATATTGCAGCCATCCAGAGAGTACAGAGATTAATAGATGTATATGACCCATGACTGGTAGATACTATTCAATGGTCTCCACATCCAGTGGAACGGGGATCTATGCAGTGAACAGGGTGACCCACATTACTTATAGACAATCTAAACTCTCCTACTGGAAAGATTACAGACTCTTCTTCAGCGTCACCAAACTGAACCAACAGAACTAGTCAATACTTGCAATACGAGCAACTGAAAAAGTGTCTAGTTCCTAAAGTAAGACAACCCCACAGGAACTGCTACTATCCAGTATACATTGTAGTAGTATGTAAATCAAGTTAAGATCATAGTTCCTTAAGTAAAAAACTCCTTTTTTTTTATAGGAACTTGTGGTATCAAGTTATAGGAACTTGTAGTATCCAGTAGTAGAGTTTAAATTGTCTATATATGTATGTCTAACCTTCATCTGTTAACCCCCACATTATCTCTCAGTGCCGTTGCTCTCGTTACTTCCCTCTGATCCCTCCTGTGACTCCTCCTCCTCAATATCTGCTGCGTCTGTGTTGATGGAGGGCATGGCACGGCCAGCGCTGAGCTGCCGCAGGACCAGCTTCTTGTACACGCCGCCCTTCTGCAGCAGCTCGTCATGGGTCCCCCTCTCCACGATCTTACCCTTGTCAATAACAACAACCTGGAACATACAAATGTTTTCTTTAACAGTGTCGCTGAAGAATGCAAAGCCAAATTACCACTTCTGGACATTGATCTATGTGATATCACAGACATAATGTAGTCCATAATCCTGCAGTCCAGGGAAGGAAACTGTTACTGCTCATGATGTTTGGGTGCATACTGCGATCTTACCTAATTTGGTACAAATGTGCATTAAGCACATCCAATTAATAAAGAGCCCTCTCAGTATTTCCTTTGTGGTGAAAATCTTTTTTGACCCTCTTGTCACAGCTACAGGAGTCACTGAGTAAGTAAGTGAGTGAGTGAGTGAGTGAGTGAGTGCGAGTGAGTGAGTGAGTGAGTGAGTGAGCGAGCGAGCGAGCGAGTGAGTGAGTGAGTGAGTGAGTGAGTGAGTGAGTGAGTGAGTGAGTGAGCGAGCGAGCGAGTTACAATGAGTTCCACACTACATTGTACATGTAGTAGGGCAATGCTGGAGAAAAACAATTGTTTAAACCACATTCTATGGTTGATTACGATTGATAACACTGGGTCTTGAAGAAATACATAACGTAAAAATATTTGAGACTAATAGACTAAGTATATATTTTTCTGACAGACAAAGCCTGTTCTGACCTCAGAAGCGTTCCTGACAGTGGAGAGCCTGTGAGCGATGACCAGTACGGTACGTCCCTTCATGGCACGGTCAATGGCTTCCTGTACCAGGTGTTCACTCTCTGCATCCAGGGCACTGGTGGCCTGAGGGGGATAGTATATAGTATTAGGCATACATGTACATGTAGTATAGGATACCATATAGAAGTATATAGTATTGTATAGGACATAGATGGAAGGGGCAATATTGTACATGATATGACAATCACATAGGGCTGCACCAATTTATTTCCGTATTGTTCATGGACAATTTACTAGTACAAATGTCTGTGAGGGGGTCTGTGGTATAATTTCCTTGGGGGTGCATGTTGACCCTGGAGCCAAGGAACTGGCCTGTGCAGGCCCTGAAAACAGTCTGGTATCCAGGCTACACTGCGGTATAGATATTTTCTTGTCGGAAAATAGAAGAAAGAAGCAGCTAGTTCTCACCTCGTCCAGTAGCAGTATGGCAGGGTTCATGATGAGTGACCTTGCGATGGCGACCCTCTGCTTCTGACCCCCTGACAAACGCACACCTCTCTCCCCCACCATGGTTTCATAACCCTCCTACAGGGGGGAACAAAGCAGGGGAAGGAGTGATGAAGGTTAAACATCCAGGTAATGAGGTACACAAGAAAATAGTTGCTAGAGTAACACCTTAGGCTGGAACACCTTAGGCTGTGATACACAATCTCTTGGGGAAAGCGCAATAACACTTAAGTGACAGAATGAGTGAGAAATCTAAAAAGTGAATAAAACAAAAACTTCATGACTCCAAACGTACCGTGCATGTACTTTTAAAATTGTATGACATATAAATATTTGAATGTGTATTTATCTACTGTGAATATTGTTTTTCTTTTGATACAGGCCTTTGGCGTTAGCCAGACTGAATAGATAAAGAAATAAATTGATTCATTGAGACCATACGTTGAACTCCAAGATGAACTGATCAATTGATTGACAGATTCATTGATCGATTGACTGACACCCTACCTCAAATTCAGATAAACCGATTGATAGATTGATTGGCTTATTGATTGAGACTGTACCTCAAACTCAGCAATGAAGTGATTGAGTTGAATAATTAACTGATTGACTAACACCGTACCTCAAACTCAGAGATGAACTGGTGAGCGTTGGCCTGCCTGGCGGCGTCCTCCACCTCCTCATCGCTGGCCTCCCGCCCGTACGCGATGTTCTCCTTGATCGTGGTGGCGAACAGCGTCGGCTCCTGGCTCACCATCGAGATCTGCTGACGGAACCAGCGCGGGTCCAGCGTCGACAGGTCCTGCCCACCTGGGTTACCATGGGAATGGAATGATTGACATCTTAGAGAGTTTTCCTTTGTTTACACAAGCTCTCAACCAGGAGTTAATGACCCCCACCCCAAGGGGGCACCAACCTTTGGGGCGGGCGGCCACCAGAAGCGCGATTTAGTTTAAGTGAGGTTGCAAGGACTTTTCCTGTATATATACATGTCCTTGCTGTAACAAAAATGTTAACAGCAAAGTGAGAATCAGGACTTGGAGCACAGCCGTAATGTCGGAAACTCCAATGCATTAATGTCAATGCATTAAAAACTCACCCAGCATGATTGTCCCTGAGTTGGGGTCGTAGAATCGCTCGATGAGACTAACGATGGTGGACTTGCCTCCGCCCGACGGCCCCACCAGAGCCACCACTTTCCCTGGCTCCACTGAGAACGACACCTCCTGTGGTTGTGTGAAAGCACATCAGGAAAAAGTATCCATAATACTGTTTCTTGGATCAGAAGGTTAAGGGTTCCAATCCACTCATCAGTTTTCTGAACCCCACCAAGCTTAAGCTGTTTCCCCTCTAGCTGGGGATGCTATTAGTTGTCCTTTCAAAGTTTCTTTTTAAATTACTAGATAAGCAATATAAAAACTATATACCATGGAGGTAGACCTCCATGCATATACCAAAACCTCAAATATAAGAGAGCTACTTCTAAGTGAGGATAAACTACTGGATATCAAATTGTAAAGAACAACTCACAAGTCCATGTTTGACCAGCATTAGCTCACCTTTAGCACTTCAGAGTCAGGTCGAGATGGATAGGTGAACGACACATTTTTGAACACAATGCCTGAAAAAGGTACAACAAAGGACATTCATCAAAACTTGCATTAGAACATTTTTTTTTATTGTTGATACTGAAGAAGTAGACCAAAAACCAGACTGTATAATGATGAGAGTCAGACTGTACCAAGTGTACTAACCTCCATTCAGTCCATCCAAGACTTTCCCACCAGATACATTCACTTCTGCCTTCCTGTCCAGCAGTTCAAAAATACGTTCAGAGGCTCCGAGCGCCTGTGCAGGGAGGAAATTTGAGTGCAATACAGTCACTGTATGGCTAGAGACAGAGACACGTTAGCAGAATGGAAACACATAATACAGTGCAGTGGTCGAAATACTTTTTTTCAGTGCTCTGCAATATTGCAGAAGAGTCAAAATTTTGTTATGCAATTTGGAAATACTTTCTGCAAATACACAAGCCTCCATACTACAATCTTGAAGGTTTATAAGCATGAACTATTGATTGATATGCAAATTAGTGAAGACAACTTTTTGGAAGTCCAAAAAGCTCCTGTTGTTTCAGAACAAGAGCTTAAGTGTTGTCTGTCCTTGGAGCCAAGAGCGCTAAATCCCAAGTGCCAATTTTTCCTGCTGCAAAATTGCAGATTGCCTAAATTTTTCTTCTGCAATCTTGAAAATCTATCTGCAGATTGCAGACTGCAGACAGGTATTTCGAACACTGTACTGTGTAAAGCACATTGAATATATACATGAATGTACAAGAACCCCTGGCCTGTTACAACAGTTATTAGCTGTGAGACGTACTGACCTGCATGAAGTCCCCAAAAAGACTGGAGATAAACGCAAATGCCATGGCAACATTCAGGGTGTACATCATGAAACCTGAACAATGAGAAACACAGTCAATAACAGCAACCTTACATACAGGCATTTTTTGCTGTTCCAAATAAGACTCCACCCTTAATCAGGTTTGAATTGTTAATCCCTTTAATCTTATTCTAGATAGTACAGTCAGCCAAATCTTTTCTTGTAACACAATAAGCAAGGCATCAAACTTTTGACTGTCCTATAAAATGGCAATTTGCAAAGAAATGACAAAAGGATTGTGATGCATATATTGATTACAATCAGTGGTCGAAATACTTTTTTTCAGTGTTCTGCAATATTGCAGAAGAGTCAAAATTTTGTTCTGCAATTTTGAAATACTTTCTGCAAATACACAAGCCTCTATACTACAATCTTGCAGGTTTATAAGCATGAACTATTGATTGATATGCAAATTAGTGAAGACAAATTTTTGGAAGTCCAAAAGGAAACAAAAGATAGACAAGTCAAGACAAGGTTGATGTAAATTAGTGAAGAAGCTCCTGTTGTTTCAGAACAGGAGCTTAAGTGTTGTATGTCCTTGGGGCCAAGTCGAAGAGCGCCAAATCCCAAGTGCCAATTTTGTGCCTGCTGCAAAATTGCAGATTGTATAAATTTTTCTTCTGCAATCTTTGAAATCTATCTGCAGATTGCAGACTTCAGACAGGTATTTCGAACACTGACAATGATCTAAAAACAGTGATCATATTGTAGGGGAATATCAAACAATGACACTGTCACAATTTCTGAAATAAAGTACTTGCTAACCAGTAAGTGAGCCGATTGTGAGCCCCGTGCCTGGATGTTCCTTCTCCATAATGACCAGTTTAGCTCCATACCACAGGACTAGGACAATGGCACCCTAAGGAAGGATAGCAGAGCGATGCATCTGTGATTCAATTTCACCAGCAATCAAAGCAGGTAACATTATTTTACATTACATTACTAGTAGTTCACACAGTTAACCAGTCTTTCAATATATGGGTACTGTTTCCTTCCTATTGTCTCTCTTCAGAGCTTGGATCTGAAATTCTACAGCTGACTTTAAGTTTTAATTTAAAGAGAATTCAAGTAATATAACAAAGGGATTACTACTTTTGGCACTTGGATATTGTGTACATGTATCACATAGTACCTTTAGATATGTAACCCTAAAAAATAGGTGCACTGCTCCCATTCTAGGTACACTATAGTACATGTACATATGCATCCTGTATTTCGATCCCTGTACAAAAACAACAGAATGATGTACAAATGAAATGTTGTTCTTACAAATGCCACCACTCCCACAATTCCGTTGAAGCCTCCCCCAGCCAGGGCCAGTTTCTTGCCCCAGCCGTAGCTCTTGTCCACACTCTTGTTGTAGTCTCTCTTGCTCTTCTCCTCGCCAGAGAACATGCGCACAGTCCGGATACTGGAGATGGACTCCTCCGCTACGGTACTGGCCGCGGCAAGCTCGTCCTGGAAGGCTTTCCTGATCCCCTGTACGTACTTACCTGTACAGGATAACAAAATTCTTAGTACACTGTGTGCCTAAGCTTTCCTGTTTTAACAATGATTATCAGTTGTTTTCATTGTGTCATAAACAAGTAGTATTATAAAACAGTTTGTTTTCAAGTACCATTTGTAAAATAAGGACACAGTTCAGCCTATGGCTGCAATGTGCTTGTTTGATCAATAAACATTTGTATTATTTGTATACCAATTGCAATGTACAGAAAGGTCTTCAAATTTGAGGGTCAGAAGTGGCCTTACAATATTTTGGAATACTGGCAGTCTAAAGCCATTGACTGTCCTTATATAATAATATAATATAGACCAGCTACTTCCAAAGCCTGGCAGAGGCTACGGGTATGGGCCATGAGCACGAAATAAACAATAAATGAATAAAACTTACCGTAGACCACTGCTCCAATCGACACAATGGGGACACAAGACAGCAGCACGCCTGTCAGCTTAGCACTGAGCACAAACATGATGGACAGGGAACCAATGATCTGGATCAGGTACCGGAACAGCATGGAGATGTTCACCTGTGGGGGGGGGCAGCATTATTGATGGGAGAGTGACAAGTAAATATATAGAACAGCACATAGGTGTTTACCTGGGTAGGAGAGGGGCATCTGTTTGAATGGTACAACATGAGTGGATGCTGTCTGAATCGTCTGACTCTGAATCTATCCAGTTTCTAGATTTACTTTGCACTAGTGTTCCGTAGCAGCATACTTTGTACTTCTAATGATCACTAACACGTTGTGTGAATACTAGTATAGGATACTTACAGTTACTGAGTTCTGCACCACACCAGTGTCTGAAGCCAAGCGGTTAGTCAACTCTCCAGTCCTGCAATAAAGCATAGCAAACTTCTTTGTAGCAACGAAGTCCTTCAAAACTCAAATCCTTTGGTGTAAAGTAAAGGTGACAGAAAAAGGTTTGCATTCTGTATCAAAAAGATTACAGGTCCATTCCAGTATGAGTGTATCAAACCATACAGTCCAGTCTTACGTACAAATGTAGCTTGTAATTTTCGTACCTCGTTGTGTCAAAGAAAGCGATCTCGTTCTTGATGATGGCAGCGAACAGTTCCTCCCGCAGCCTGGCCACGAAGCGCATCCCGGCCAGCGTGAAGAGCCAGGAGCGGAAGAAGGCGGCGATCGCACCTCCGATGTAGATCAGCAGCAGGACCAGAACTGTGTGGTTCACTTTCTCTGTGGGGCAGGAGAATAACTTTGAAGTTAGCCTTACAGCACACAATACATTATACAATCATGTACTATAAATATTGAAATCTTTGTATGCTGGATCTTGCCTTTTTTCTTCTGTCTAAAATTTTTGGACATACCTCCAAAATTGACAGAAAGAGGAACTGTCTTATCACCTAAATGTTACCACAACAGTACTGTGCAATTAAAATAATGAAAAAAATTTATTGTTAATTCATTCACTCAATATTTTTTTACATCAAAGACAAAACATGCTGATTTTGCAGTTCAGATTTAAATAAGATTGACTCGGTTACCTATGCTGGTTAGAGCTGCGTCGACCACAAAACTGAAGAACAGTGGAGCCATCATGTTGGATGCACTGGCGGCTAACATAGCCAAACAACCCAGGCCTAGGATCCACCATTCCTGAAAACAGTAGACTTGTTATATAAAAGTATAAAAACACATTCTACACAGGAAAGGTAACATTTACAAATCAAATTCACCAATGATAACCTTCACAAGGTCTTGCCTAACAAAGCACCGACCTGTTTATTCTTACTCAAACACATGCTATATTTTCTTTGACACTTGTCCTTAAGTGTCAAAGAAGGTCAACCATGTCTGTGACTATGTTCTGACATACTTAGTCTCTACCAGGATTCAGAAGCGGCTGCAAAGAGAAGAAATTGCCCAAACAGACAGATAAAGGAGTGCAATTTGCTTTGAGATAGAGACCAACTCCCCTGGCATGTTATTTGGCTATTTGGCCAATTTCTTCTGGGCAAAGGTGAGTAATAGCGCAGGCGCAGAGGGCCCAGTTCTAGTATATAGAGATGGCAATGCAATGTAGAGTATAAAGAAGTTTTTTCTAGGGAAATGTTGTTGTTTTGGACTTGGATGTTATAGGTAAGGGTTGTAGTATTTTTATTTTGGTGAAAAAACAGACTTGCAGCCATGCATGTGTTGTCTGGCTGGCTGAAGAAGAAATAGGTTTACATGCGGTCATCAGCTGTCCAGAGAGGTCAGGGGTCACTTTTCAATGTTCGGCTAGAATTCTCACATGGTTTAGGTGCGTAGGATTTTTTCATTTTTTGGGAATGGAGACTTGAGAGGTTGGCCTACCCTGCCAATGTATGTTCTTCAAGGTCTAAAACTCGGGTATATGAATTTTGACCACGTTGTTTTGACATAATTCCCATGTATTAACATAGGAAAGCCCTATTACTGTGCTGTGCCCTTCTCTTTAGAGCTTGATGCCTGTTAGAGAGTATGACACTCACATCCCGAGCCATGGTGAACAGTCTCCAGAGGTCCACTTTCTTCTTGATGGTGTTTCCCTCATCATCGATCTCCTGGCCGTCGCTGTTGTAGCGGTGGACGATCCGCATCACCTGCAGCTTCCGGACCATGCAAAGGAACACCAGTCCCAGCAGCAGCTCAAGAATGCTGAACACGAAGGACGCTATGCAGACAGCAACGTAGGCGCTGTGCATCTAGGGAGGGAGGGGTGAAAAAGATTACATCTAAAGCAGTGTTCTAGCCAGCCAGTGTCAGTCTTTCTGTCATTCCTGCTCGTGACTGACAAACATTTTGCTCAGTCCATCATCTTTGACAGAGCTTGAACTGATGGGGCATCAAACATAATTGAGATGGCGGCAAAAACTACTCAAAACTACTCATTAGAAACAAGAAGACCACTCTGGGGACAGTTGGTGACTATAGACAGGATCCTTATTGCTTGTGTCAATGAAAAACTTTCCGTTATCCACTACAGCTGTGTACTGGTAGGTTAGAGTGTTAGATTAAGATTTAGTTAAACCATTTTTGCAATGTTACATTTAATGTTGAAGCATTCATCCTCTATGTGAGGTTATCCACGATAAACTCACCTCTTTATAACTTTCCTTGTAGAGGACAAACCCTCCCTTGGTGGCAGCGTAAGCTGTAGACAGCAGTGAGAGAAGTATGGCACAAATGTAGAACGCCTTCCTCTTTTTGAGCAGACCACGGTCGTACGGTTCTTCCAGAAGCTTCATGGAGATTTCCTCGATCCGGGTGAAGAAGTGGAAGAGGAGGCACATCCGTAGCAGGGACAGGCACGCCAGCTCAAACACAGAGCGGTAGAAGTCAAAATGTACAACATTGTCCTCCAGGTAACTGGTGTGACCACCTGAAAACATGGGGAACACAAACAGTCAGTACACTAAATAAATATTAGTAATAAGTAATACAAATGTTATATAAAATCATCTTCTTTTGGCAAATTCTTTGTTACATTTCACTTCATATCATAGGTATGGATGAAATATCAATTTGGTTTCTCTCATGTTTCTTCTCCTTCCATTACCTACCATAATTGCATTCTGTTAAGATTGAATTTCCAAAATTAAATGAACTGAAATTTTGTTAGGAGTGAGCAAATATCCCTTGAGCATTTTTTTATGCAGATCTTTAGAATTGCTTTATTTAGGTTTTATTTACTCATTTGTTGTAGTCATGTTTAACTAATCATGGTAGTAACCCTATGTATATATAGCCTTGTGTATACATGTACCTGCTAGCCACAGTGCCACACAGACAACTCCGTCTATGAACACCACAAATCTGACAAAGTTGGTGAAGCGGAAGAATGGGAGTGTGTAGTACGCCCGGGTTCCTTCCATGGTGATGGCTGTAGTCTGTCTTCCAACTTAGACTTCACCCTGATAGGAAAATACAGAAAATGATTTATTGATAAGGAAACTGAACATAAAATGTTTGGAAAGTCAACTCTGCTGGGGCCTTCCCGCTATGACCGGATCAATCCTTACAGACCTATGGCGGCACCTGGGAAAATTAGTACAGTTGAAAGGCTGCCAATACAGACCCTTTCAATTGCAAGCTCTTTGCAGTTCAGGCCCTGGCTGAGAAGAGAGAGTCGTCAGCCATACCTATGTTGTTGCTTGCATTTATAATACATCATTTGAAATCTGATCTATCACTATAAAATCAGTTATTTTCACAGGGACTTAATTTTGGAGTGAAGGATTATAGAAACTCTTTGTAATTCTTACCAGAAGTTCCAAGATTCTTAAAACTCCTTCCTCTGTCCTCTGTGGGTAAAGGTAGAAAAATGAGTAAAACACAAGTCTTACCAGCAGATATAGCTGGCAAAATGCCATCAGCATCTAGATATAAGCATGAGTCACCCCTTAGAATAAAGGAGTGTATCTTATTACCCATCATACCTTGAGTTCTTTGACTTGTGTCAACAGCCTGCCACTTCCTGTTATGTTCAGTATAATGACCTGTCGGTGAAATAAAGGAGCTAGGTGAACTTTGACCTTAAAGTTTAAACATTAAGCAAGGACTGATACTAGTTCACAGCAGGGCATTATTATGATGAGCTTGCATTTTTAGGGACATCTAGACTTTTCTTCAAACAACTTTTTCTTCAATAAGAACTTACATACCAGAATTCTCACACTTATAACAGGTGAAGAATTTAGGGTTTTGAATTTGGAGCTGGAATTTGAGGGCATCAGCTTTTGGTAACTACGAAATCAATGTGTACATATCCTGATAATTCATGAATTATCACGGTCTGAAATGTATATATTTATAGAATGCGGTTTTGTTGGGACTGCTATTCTTCTGGCTTGACAGTGTTGACAGTGCCCCTCCCTCAATATTGCACCGGCCCATCTTGGGTCCAGTTCTCACACCGGAAATAAGTCACAGATCCCTCCCTAGCCTGACTAAATCGCGCTCCTGGCGGCCGCCGCCCTAGGTTGCCGCCCCCCTGGGGTGGGGGTCGTCCAGCCGAGAGCTTGTATACACAGGCTAATCCCTCCCCACAAGGTATGGTTGATACAGATTTACATGTAAGGTGGCAAAATACACAATAGGTCTGAAAGTATAGCACAGACAGAGCGAGCTGATCATTCAAACCCAGGATGACGCAGCACTATACTTACACTACACGTCACACGTCACTTGTGTAACTTTACGTAACCTAAATTTTTTGACCGACAGGGCACGAGTTACCGGTTTCGCGGCGCCATTTTGCCACAAAGCTACTCTCCAAGCAGAGGTTTGGGTTTTGGGGGTATTTTTAGCGTGTTTTAGGCTTTTTTATCGGGGTTTCTCTTTTGCACTGAATTTTGTTCCCATCAAACCCAAGTTGGGTTCAGTGCAAAAGAGAAACCCCGATAAAAAAAGCCTAAAACCACTAAAAATACCCCCAAAACCCAAACCTCTGCTTGGAGAGTACCACAAAGCTACAAATTTTAAATGTTTAAACCAACAAGGTGTCTAAAACGTTAAAGAAAAGAACCAAGCAAACATACGACTCGAAACAAGGCACAAACACTACCTGATCAGGTGCTACAAATGCTGTCACTGTCACAGAGCAGCAAACGCATAGAATCTGCTAGAATCTGCTAGAATCTGCAAGGTCAGGGTTCATCCGTTGACCCGTAAACCAGAGACGCCTTGCGGTTACTGAGAAAAGTGCATCATGACGCATACATATTTTAGCTCCCAGGAGTGGACCGACAGGTAGAGAATCTGACACCTGGTCTGCCACTTCAAGCAAACAACATGCCGCGACGCCGTCCAAGCAAAGAGAAAGGTACGCCGTTCTCTTCTTTTAAAGATGGCAGAAGGCTATTTCCTTACGTGATTTACGCTATTTCTCACCAAGACACAATTTAGACCTGTCTTATGGACTGTCTTTACTTTTGAACTGAGATGAGAGACAAAAATCAAACCTACCCGGAAATCACGACTGTCTGTCATGTCCCACTCGTATCGGGTTACAGTAAACCCCAACTTAGAGCTTTCGCTTTTTTTGTCAGTATAGTTAGCATACTTTATAACGACTATGCCTATCCGTTGTGTATTGCTAGTACTGTCGTAGGTTGATACTGACTTTCATAATGTTTTCACGGGTGGAAGTGTCCATGTTACGAAGTTATTATATTAGTTAAGGGCTGTTAAGAGCATGGCTGTTGTACGAATAGCCTTAAACATTACCTTTACCCGGGTTGCAGTTGTCAAAAAATTTCCGGGTACTATGATACGTCCATATATGCTTTTTGCAAACAGAATCAGACATTGATAGTGGTAATTATTCCGTCATTGGTGCTACATTCCACGGGTCAGTGCGCTTCGAACGAGATCATGTTAGTCCTTCTGAGTAAAATGAGTCTTTTTCACGAAACGTTGTCCACTGTACGACGATGTACTGATAACGCGGCCTTTAACTTGTGATGGCTTGCATTTTATTTGCTTGCATTTTTATTGGGCGTTTACAAAGAAGTGCCAATTTGTTGATGTCCTTGGGATCTAGAGAGCCTTGGCATTATATGTACTAGACGGCACGTCAACCCATGAAACACCTGGCCGAACTTGGAAAATTGGCGGGAGAAAATCTTTGTCCATAGTTCTCATTTCCGGCCTTAAAACACTTTTTAACACATTTATATTAAGTATTGTGTTTCGAGTGCTGTCTACTACGCAAAAAACAGTCTTATTGGCTCTCTAAGGTGGCTCGCATGGCTACAAATTTAAGAGTTCTTTTGTTGTGCCTCTGGCGGTTTGGGGATTCCGCCTTATACAATGGCAGCACAACAATAGGTACCTGGCCGTACCAGGTTCGGGAAAATGCCGCCAGGATCTTTGTAGTATCTCCCGTGGATGTATGTAATCTCTGATAACATGCTTCACACGTATAGCAAGCAAGAACCTTTCTGAAGAGAGATTTTGGCATTTGCAGCGCGTGTTCCGAAATTGCAAACGTCCACACGTGTTCACGCACAACTGCTTCGCTGAGCGGTGGCATTTCTTCCGTTTTCTCAGCAGTGGTGCATGGCGAAAATGCATTTTTCTAGGCTGAATGGCTTTCGACGTTTGAGTAGTTTACGTAGTTTCTTTGTATCACCCGTCTATGCAGTACATCCTCTATTCTTCCGTTTGCAAATATTACCCCCATTATAACAACAATGCAGCTACGTATACCAGGGTTCGAGTGTCTACGTACTAAAGTGGACACTGACGTGGAGCTATAGGTCAACAATTGTTCGTATGAGGAGGTCGAGTAGTACAAGTGTTCACTAACGATGCACACTTCAAAACCCTCACTCAGCCAATAAGACTACTTAGTATACTAGAACATCCCGTTATAATGTCTATCTAGTTCTTGTCGTCATTTCCGTACTATAGAAAAATGACCTCTATTGTGCTCCGTTCTCACACGTGCCAATTTGAGAGGATGAATGGTTTTCCCTAGCTTTTGGAAACCGGTGTCGTGTCGGTGAAGGTTAGCCATCCAGGTAATAAGATACGCCAAAAAAACAGTTACTCAAGCAACTGGATATGATAGTTTCCAATATCATATCCAGTTGCTGTAAAGCGGTGTGGTATTTCAAAACAGTTGACGTGAACATTAAGAAAATTACCTGATGGCCAAAGGTATTCGCTGCTGTACTATTCCTCAAGTCATTCTGGTCTTCCCAATTAGACTGACCCATTGACACTAGTCACGTGGTGGCCTTAATTACTGCCACGTGACTAATCTCACTCTAGAGCTGTCAGTTGCCGAGTGACCCAAGAGTGACTGGTCGAAAGCTCTAGGTGAGAACATATAGTATAGTACCTTTGTGTTGGAACAAAAGTTTTAACTTTAAACCTGTAAATACCACCATAGACTAACGTTCTCTCCTTATTTGTTGCCACAGATTTAAACGACATGGGGAAACTGGGGAAAACACCCCCGGCAGCAACACAGGACGACATCGTGCTCGACTCCAGTACGTAACTGGCCTACCTTTTTATACGTCTTTTATAACGAAAAAGCATTACACGTATACAATAAGTACCACACATGTGTAATCAACCACAAAACTGATACATACAATCAGGTAACGATGGTCTGTTGTTGTAAGGGAAAATTATGTAAACATGAGTTCAGAATACTATATGAACATTGTGAAAATCACCGTACGGTCAATGACATTTGCTGCTGTACTATTTGTCGCCCCAGGTACGGAGATGGAGAAACTCCCTCCACCGCCTGCGCTACTGCGCCTCACCTGCACGGCTGTGATGACGAACGTGATGAGCGCTCACCTCGATCCTCTCCTCACCGTGCTCGTCACTTTCCTCACCTTCTTCCCGGCGGCAACACAGGACGACATCGGCTTCGACTCTGGTAAGGACTAGTATCCACCAGACTAACAAACGCGGGCTCAAAAACAGTAGAATTTAACCAAACAGGTATAATGAATGGCCAGAGGAGTTTGGCCACCGTAGACTACACTAGAATTCACCTTCCCGCGGATTGACTCTCCTGACCCTTTCTACGATCCGGAAAGCGATTCTACAGCGTTTTTGTCACTCAGATGTTAGATCGAAAATGTTATATCCTTAATTACCAGTTGTGGGTAAAATGTAGCGAAGAATGTCTTGAAAATACATTGCATCTGCTTCTTTCGCAAAGCTTTAACATTCACAAGTCAACCATTACATATTTCCTATAAAATTAATGCAGTAATGTAGATTGCCGCAAGGGGCCCTTAAAATTCCAGAACCCAAAATACTACTAAATGCACCTGCACCTAAACACTGTTTGGCAACATAGCGCTTGGAAAGCCGACACCAACTGGTCACATTGAGATAAATTAATGGCTGCAACTATAGCAAAGCGATTAAAATGACCAGACGGATAATGATGACCTTGTGATTTGATCCACACAGGAAAGGGGTCACCACCCGGACACCAGGCGCTTCCCCTGACCGTCCACAGAACCCTGGTCGTCATGGGCGTCCTCACGGTCTGCATCATCCTGTCCTGCGCATGCTTCGGCGTCTACTGGAGGAGGAGGCTACGAGGTCAGTGACCGATCGAACGGTCACCTTTTATATGCACTCGTCATGGTTAACCCCAAGAGGGAGGGGGTCTTATTATAAAATATAAGGGCAATTTTGTCGAGGTGTTAACATGTAAGAAACAATCTTGAAATAGGACTATCCTGCCTATACGCTGTACAGGTGGAAAAGAATAGTATACATATAGTAACCACACAATTGGACAGACTATATACTAACGGTCTGCCAGAGCTGTGAACACGTAAAACTCAGTGGAGAAGTGTATAATGTGACAATTGTTCATTTGAGTGATTCTGCTGATAACGAGAAGATGACTGCAATGCTCTAATAAGTAGATCTGTTTAATCTACATTATAAGTCGACAATATGCCTTAGTTTGTAACTTTATATCATATATATCTACATTTTATTTATTCTCATTTTCCAGCTCAAGAGCGAGCCCAGGAAGAAGCCCTGAACGCCCCTCCTCCGAGTTACTACGACGTCGTGACGGAACCGTACGAGTTCGAGATAACAGTCGAGTCGGGAGCCTCGCAGACACACACAGATGATTCCCCTCCGTCTCCCCCAGGTCCTGCTGGACCCCAGGACTTCGTGTACACCGCCACCCAGCGCCCACAGAGCGCAGTAACACCGCTGTCCGTACAGGCGCTGCTGCGGGGAGTCAGGATGTCGCGGCTGGCGGCGGCAGAAACTCAGAGACAAGAAGAGGAACAGTACGCAGACAATGATGATGACGAAGAGCCCCCTCCAACTTACGACAGTTACATGAACTATTCCGTCACTCCTACTCGGATCAGTGACGGCTGATTGGAAACAGAACGTACAATTTTTTACACACGTAAACTTGTACATAAAGTAGTCAAAACAGTAACCCATAACATTATTACCCTAACCCTCACTCAAGACTGGTTTTCATATCTCTATACATATATACCGACTCACTAGTGTATACGTTGGAGACTTCCGATTTGTATTATAGTAAAGTTTAAATTTTGTTCATGATATCAAGTAACTATATTACTCATATTGAGTACGTACGAGTACCATGCTGGCAGCAAAACAATTATACAACACAAGTATCTTATAGTTTTCTCTTCAGTATTACGCAGTATAAGATTTCAAACAGACTAGAGTTTATACTATGAAGCGATGTAATCGCTAAAATTCATTAAGAAAAGTTAAAAGTTTATTTATTCAAGATATTGTATGCATCTGATGTTGTGAGGATAGCGATTTTCAAAATCCTCTTATATATATAATAAAGCACATTATACATACACAAAGAAGAGTGCATGCCATACATTGTACCATGTTGTCGAGCACTTTTACACGATAGATTGAACTGTATGGGTCTCTCATAAAAGGGTAGCGTCATACACACAGAGCCAACAGAATGGTTATAACAATGGTTTGTTGCCAATCTTGTTCTTTTCTGCAGCACTCGCCATGATTTCATGTTCGAACAAACCTTGAAATTAACTGCCATTCTGGACATGATAAGAAGACAACACAGTCTTAAGTTGACACATGCTGAAAACATGTTTTTACATTCTGTCCTTTTGTGTAAGCATTTAACGGGTCTAGAGTATATTTAGCCTACACTTCTGGTCCACGTCCACAAGATTTTAGTGTGGCTCAACTTTAGCAGCTGCATTCGTACAACCCAATACCAGAGGAGTAAGACGTGTCACCATGAGGCTGTCTGTATTCTGCCTTGTACTGCTTTTCTGTGGAGTCCACAGCCAGTTTCATCCCGAAGGTGTACATGTCTCGGAGTTTGCAGATGTTGCCACACTTCTTGCAGACTTTCAGGTTGGTATTTTGGCAGTATATATTAATTCTTAGCTTCGTATATGGATCAGTCTTTATTGGCGGTAGCATAGTTTCCAGAGGGGCAAAATAGGGCAAAGACTGAAAAGTCATTAGATTTTCCTGTGTAAGGGCACGCCAAATAAATAATCGAATGACCATAAAGCATGACATAACATAACAAAGTTGTGTTTAATAGTTACACAGGGGACATTTTCATATATTTTACTAATAGTGGTAAAATGTTGACACAACGTCTGTATCGTTCCTTGTAGGCCCAGCTTGATGAACAAAAAATCCAACTTGAGGACCAGAAAAACCAGATTGACGAAATGATGAAACGGAGCGGTATGTTAATGCTCAATTCAGACATACTCGTATCATAAATCGGCTACGATTGTCTTTTGTAGCTAGCCTGTATAGTCTTGCTTGTGGCGATTTGCCGTACTGAGATTCCCAGTTTCAGCTTAATTCCTGCGAAACTGATGTGTTATGTCAATATTGTATATTATATAACTATTGTATAGCTTGAACAATTTGAACATTTCCTTTGTCATCTACAACAGGAGCCGTGTACGTCCGCTGGGGGAGGTCAACTTGTGACAACGAAGCTCTCACAGAAACCGTCTACTCCGGTGAGAGGTGAAAATCAAATCGTCAACAAAGCCTACTTTCCTATTTACCCGTTGTATGGGACGTTTGGCGACCATGATTCTACTAGCGGTCTTCCTCTACATTTCTCAAAGCATATACTGTACCTAATACTAGTTGAAGATAGTGGCCATGGGTTAATTTGAGTAACTCTACTTGTCACGTAGTACATGTTATATAATCTACATACACGTAGTATACGTAGTATCGGCACCAAGCAACATTGGCATTTGTTTTCGTGAACAATAACACACTTTATAACCCGATCCGCCTCTTCATGACCAAAGATTTCTGATACGGAAAGTATTGTACTATCAAAACGTGCCACTTCTCTCCGGCCAAAAATTTCTGATACGGAAAAGATTGAACTGTCTAAACTTTTGTGCCACTTGTTACTCATTTTCAGGCAGGGCAGGGGGCACAGCTCACACTCAGACCGGCGGCGGGACCAACTACCAGTGCCTGCCGACCGACCCGCAGTGGGGCGTGTACCAGGACGGCGTGCAGGTAGCACAGCACAGTTTCGCCCTATTGGCATTTCTATAGTTAAGGACCCAAAGATGACTCACTTCGACGCGGTAAAAATTATAGTAGGGTGCACTGCACAAATACGAAAATCGAATATGTTTGAATAGGAGGTACGTATACAAACTACAAAATATCTAGAAACAAAAAAAAATGCTGTCGGCGTATCTGCTCGTAACGTACACTTTGAAATCGTCCTACCCGGAGATCCAGCGAACTGCAGCCGACTCACCCGGAATGCCAGTTGCGTAATACGGCGCATTTTACACGAACTGCAAAACCGGCTTCACAATTCAAATCATACAGTCTCAAACCTGATACATTCCTATACCACACAGCACAATTTACATCTGGGTGACGCTCACATCAGGCTTTCGCTGTACTATTTTCTATACCGGCGACTCATAGACCCCCGGGGTCATGTAATACTGTGTTCTGCGACCTTTCAGACAGTGTCGGCATTCATGTACGGTGCGGAGTACCAGATGGACGATCACCCACACTTCGGATTCTTCCCCAACGGGTTCGCTCAGGACGTCCCGTGCGCGGTCTGCTACGTCCCGACCCGCGGGACCGAGTTGATGATCCCCGCCCGACACACTTGTCCCGTCGGCTGGACTAAAGAGTACGACGGGTACCTCATGGCGAGCTACGCCGGCCATGCCAGTGCGAAAGTGCGAAGTTCTAGCATTCATTACTTTCATGTAGCCTCTACCAGCAGGCTTCGTGAGGCGGCTGGAAAGAGTAGAAATCGGCCAAATAGAGAGATAACATGCCAGGAGAGTTGGTCCGCTAGAGACTACAGTTTGCCGCACCTGGGTGCCAACTCCCGATCCCCTGGCATGTCATCTCTCTATTTGGCCAATTTCTACTCTTTCCAGCCGCCTCCCGAAGCCTGGTAGAGGCTAACTTTCATGTACATGTACTTATATATTTTTGTCAGTTTAGAATTACGTTTGCTTCTACGCCAACCTGAATCAGTTTTGGTCTGTTATATCAAGGTTTTATTTAGTTTATTTATTGTTAGTTATTATTTGTTACTCATGATTAATATTTGTAAGTTTTAAAGAGGAGGACACTGTACACGCCTTGCAGGCTTCTTTCCTCCTCCTACACACTGTTTGTTTCCTTTATTTATTTTGCATAATTGTTGATTAATGTTTTTATTTTTTATTATATAAATGAAATGAAGGAGTACGTGTGCGTGGACGGGCAGCCGGAGACGGTCCCGGGAGGAGACGCTAACCAGAACGGAGCGTTGTTCTACCTGGTGGAGGCTCGCTGCGGGTCCCTGCCGTGCCCCGAGTACGTGGAAGGGAGGGAGCTCACCTGTGTCGTCTGCACAAAGTAGCTTTCATCATCATCATCATCATTGTTGTTGTTACCATCTTTACAGGGTGATAGATCCTTTCGTTAGCTTTACCATGCCATAAGACGGGGTGCGAAAAGGCCCTAATAAGTACATACTTTAGGCATGTGCGCCTTTGTCGAGGCTAGATAAGCAAATTGCAATGTTAAGAAATGAATGTCAATAAATTGAAAGGGATGATTATTGAGTTACACTAGCTTTCATCTCACATCTTTATATATCGCCCTTTATATCAGTGTACATGTATTGTTCTAAACAGTCCATGGTACTACATATATTCGCGTGTTTAAGTGTGCCTTTCTTTCTATAATTTTCAAATGATGTGTTGGAAAAGATATCGTCTGCAACAGGCAATACTAGTATTCTGACGCAAAGGTGAACGTACATCCAACGAAAACTGCGAAAACTCCGGTTCAGCCGTACGTTCAGCCGACGTGCAGCCCAACCCCAAGCCCAACTCACCCAACAGCTTAGAGTATGACGTCACTACGCAGGACTCAACCAGCGCAGTCACTGAACTCTGACCACTGACGTCATCTAACAATACAATTTCACATTACAATGTTTGTCACGTATTTAAGATAGAAACGTAGTCGGGTTCCCTGGCGTAGAAAGCTTTATATACTAGTGCCTCACCGTGAGTGCCTAGACTTGAGTTAAGAGTTTTCTGTGTCTGTGTTTGCAATGGCCCTGGTGGAGCTGCTTGGAGAAACCCTGCAGAAGTCAGGGAAAGGGACGACGGTAGACACGCGCACGCTGGCGGGGGAGGGGCGGTACGTGGGGCTGTACTTCTCGGCCCTCGGGTGTCCTCCCTGTCACCGCTTCACTCCCAAACTCGTCCGGTTCTACAACGAGCTAAAACAGACCGAGAAGGGGGAGAGTTTCGAGATCGTGCTTGTGTCGGGAGACCCGGACAGGGAGAGTTTTGACGAACATTTTGAGGAAATGCCCTGGTTGGCTATTCCGTTCACGGATGCACGGAAAAGGGTAAGCTAAGAATAAGAGTAGCACAATACCTCCATGGGATAGCCAACCAAGCGTCTGTAGTAGTCTGTAGACTTTTGCGATAAAGTACGGTGGCCGACAAATACACACCTGCGTCGTCTGCTATATACTAGTAAAGGAAGTCATTAAGCAACATTTTTTATTCGGAAAAGAAATGGGTCGTTTCCAAAATGCCATTCGAGTTTCGTGTTAACATTTTTGTTATCAAAGTTTATTACTGTTATTCCAAAAGCAATTAATTTGCACGCGTTTGTCTCATAGATTCATGAAATCCATTAGTATTTATGACCTAACGTTTTTGAATCAAAGAATGATCATCCTTCCATTCTCTTTTTTTCAGCTGAACCTGTGTGATAAGTATGAGGTGTTGGGGATTCCTGTACTGGTTATTGTGGACGCGAACTCTGCCGAACTCGTCACCGACAGAGGCAAGCACGGAGTCACTACAGACCCGACGGGAGAGAACTTTCCGTGGAAATAATTGGCTTAAATTTATGTACATGAACATTCTGATATTGTGGAAAATGTGGAATCTGCTTTGTTGCATTGGCTTCATGGTGCTGCCTCCTATCTATAGAAACATCAACTGCAGTTTGATTTGACCAAGGAGGTTTACCTTCAAGACAGACTTAACTAAGACTCCTTGATTTGACATACTGTAAACTTATCTATTTTCGCGGGACTTTCATCATATTTATTTGAATCTTAAATATCTCAGGCTTGTTATTTCATTTCTGTGATGCTGTTGTATAAGTTAACATTTAACTAAAGCGCCGCTATGACCAAGGAGGTTCAATACATACCTCCTTGCTATGACCATGTCTTTGTCTTATATTAGTTGATTAATAATAAAGAAAAATCGCCGCTGTCTCTATGAGTAATGGGTTATGTACAGAAATAATAAGCAGAGTTTGCCCCAGCAATTTTCAAGCCGATGTAGGGAAGAAGGTGGCCTTTCCTGACGGCTAGTAAACACCAAATTCGAAAGCCATCCCTCTCGAAAAGCAAAAAAACTGGCTTTTCTCTCCCAACATCTGCTTGGAGATTCAATACGCCCTATACGTCATTCTGGGTGGCTACCTGTCGGACAGGTATGTCTGTCGGCTGACGAAAGGCGGTGACCCGAGACAGAACACAGCACGTCATTCAACAACGCCCAAGACTGAGAAAGAACAGGACGCTTTGTGTGTATCATCTGTATCTTGTCTAATTACAATCATGGCGCTTGTTGAACTTCTCGGAGAAAGTTTGCAGAAGAAAGCGAAAGACGACGAGAAGTTACCGACCAGTAGCCTGGCCGGGGAAGGCCGGTTCGTCGGTCTGTACTTCTCCGCACACTGGTGCCCCCCTTGTCGCCTTTTTACCCCGGAACTTGTCAACTTCTACAACGACTTCAAGGCGAAGGGCACTTTAGAGATTGTGTTCGTCTCGTCTGACGCAGACCAGGGCAGCTTCGACGGGTACTTCGGCAGTATGCCCTGGCTAGCAGTCCCGTATTCGGATAGGCAGAGAAAGGTGTGGTAAAATCTATCCACATGTCAATGCACTATTAACTTGAGAACTCTAGTGAGGTAGAGTAGTACTGAAGGTTCAACAAAGCCGCTGAAGGTTCCAGGGTAGCTTTGACGGGTACTTCGGCAGTATGCCGTGGTTAGCAGTCCCGTATTCGGACAGGCAGCTGAGAAAGGTGTGGTAAAATCAATGTACTAGTAAGAAACTGTAGCGGTAGAGTGGTACTGAGAATTGTGTACTGAGTGAAGGTTCAACAAAGCTTTAAGGCTAAGTACATGGTTAGGTGTGGTCTTTCGAAAGACATGCGAATGGCATGAGTCATAGGAGGAGTGGGTGTACAATAAAATGGGGAGGGAGGAGCCCACCCAAACAATAATCCGTTTGTCAGTGCTATCGTCTATTAACGCACGATTAAAGTAAGCAAGTAAGCAAGCAAGCAGTAAGCCTAACAGATGAGCTCAGTCATGTACGACAGCTCGAGGCGTAGAATACAAGATCGTCCTTACAATAATTCTCATGTATGCATATGCCATCACCGAGTAGTTATAAAATAAAATCAAATAACAGAACACCTTTTGCCCAAACACCACGTTGTAACAGGATGATAATATATTTTTCTTTCATTTCCCTCCAGGCAGAGCTGACTAGAACGTTCGACGTGAAGGGCATCCCTACCCTGGTTATCCTGAAGGCCGATACGGCGGAGGTCGTCACGAAGAGGGGGCGGGACCGCGTCATGAAGGACCCGACAGGACAGGACTTCCCCTGGGGATAGAGCTATATTCATGTAACTCGTACTCAAAACAAACTTTTCACAGTAAAAACTCTGTCATATTTCCTGAAAATGTTTTGCATTGACATCATCATCATCGTCTCAAGGTGTTATTCTTTCCTTGGAACCCCCGGGTCTACCTTGACGAAATTCAACAAAATTCTAGTGAATGAACCTTGTTTCTAGTAATGTTGTATGAAGTATACCTGTAAAATTGCTAAGTATACGATGGAATAAAATGGCTATATGTACAAATAGAATTGCACGTGTATTTTGCAACATTGCTAAGTATACTTAGAAGCCTCTAGATCTTGTCTGTGTACTAAATAAATATACTGAATGAACAATCTGTAGCAATAATGAAGTCAAAATCACCGAGATACTTGGAGTAATGAAACGGTACATGGCTACTGTCCACGTATTATATCATAATATATTCACATGGTACTTTGATGCAGCCCAAAACTAGATAGGTCAGATTTTCTACAGATCCAACTGGTTAGGCAAGACGTTACCAGGGACAAGACACTATAGCTACTGCCCGAGGGTCTAGATCTATACAACAAGGCGTTACACACTACACAGATAACCCACCTGTTGCTGCCCAAGTAAAAGTTAAAGTGTAGAACCAGTTGTATACTTTCATCAAACAAAACAGGTGTTGTGAACAATCTTAAGATGGCGTTGGTGGAGCTTCTAGGAGAAAAACTGCAGAAGAAGGCGGGAGAGGAGGAGACGGTTGAGACGAGTTCCCTGGTGGGAGAAGGGCGGTACGTGGGCCTGTACTTCTCCGCGCTGTGGTGTCCGCCATGCCACGGCTTCACCCCGAACCTCGCCCGCTTCTACCACAACCTGAGGCAGCAGGCGGGGAAGGAAACGGCGTTCGAGGTGGTGCTGGTGTCGGACGACACGGACGAAGACACGTTCGCGGAACACTTCGGCAGGATGCCGTGGTTGGCGCTGCCGTACTCAGAGCGGCAGAAGAAGGTGAGACCTAACCCTTAGTTGGACAGTGGATTAACAAAAATTAAGCCAGTGTCCATATGCCACTTCACACTTTGCCTTTCAATAGATATACGGCGTATTAGACTTTTCAAATACAATGTAATGATAACGACAGAAGACTTGAGGTTTGCTACACAACACGCGACTGACCTAGATTCTGCCATTAAAACATGCCCTACTTCCCCTTGCCATCGTCGTAGGACTCATAAGTAAACGTAAACGTATTGCATTTCTAAAAGAATGATAATTACATGCTTTGTATTTATTTCGTCTAGTAAGTATTGTTTCCGTTAAGTTATAGAATGGTCAAGTGATACGCAAGAACACTCGCAGATATTTTCGGTGGCCTATATATTATAAAACTCAGTGGAATTCTGCCGACCAAAGTATGGCCATGTTGATTTGATTATATGGATGACATCCGCGCGCGCATGAATTTTCGGCCGTTTCCAAAAAAAAAAAAAGTTTTCAACCATACTGTAAATCGTGCAAAACAGTTGCTAAATGAGCAAAAATATACCATAAGTTGCAAGGAAAACATTTAGAAACGATACCAATGTCGTAGAATGCCAAAATCAAAGGAAAAAAGACAAAAATGTAAAGAAATGAATTCGAAGAGTAGATTATTCGCCATAACATATTCTGTGCCATTTGTTCAACCTTCATGACCACGTAGATTTCATAGTAAAAGCAACTTTTTTTTTTGCAAAACTTTTTTTTTATTCGCACGCGCGCATCAGTTTTAGGGTTCCCAGAGGATGTCATCCATATAATCAAATCAACATGGCCTATCTGGAACGCGAGTAACTCGCTCAACCACAAGTGGGCACCCATACCTTGTTAAAGTGCCAAAATCCAATACTCAGCTTCACATGTCCTCATATGTACCAAGGACTAGCAGGCTGTGGAACTCCTTACCAGCCTCGGTCTTCCCTGACTGTCCCAATATGACTAAGTTCAAGACTGCCGTAAACAGTTTCTTGTTGAACTCTTAGAGATTTTCTGATTTATGACAATTAATTATGTACCATGCAATTATGTATTATGTATAATGTATCTGATAATTTTGGGATCGAATGTGACTGTGCACTTAAGCGAGGGGAATTGATTGATGTGACATCATATTGAACCGAAAATCATCGATCTACGATGTTAAGACCAGGTTCATTTTGCACTGATTAGAAAAAAAAAAAGACAGGTTCTATGCAAGTGCCTCTGGTGGCTAATGCCATGGACACTGGCTGGCCAATTGGATACTGTCTTTAGGCCAGCAAATGATCTGCTTTACTAAAAAACCGTGATTACGCAAAATCAGATTATAAATGGTGAAACTTTGAAACTAAAGAGCTGTACTTAAGACAAGCAATAAATCATTTCCCATCTGTTTTTTTGTGTGTAGAAGGACCTGTGTACAAAGTACCAGGTTTTCGGCTACCCGATGTTGGTTCTACTGGACGCCTCCACTGGTGAGATGATCACGTGGAAAGCCCGAGACCGCATCAGGGAGGACCCGGAGGGAAACGACTTTCCCTGGAAGAAATAGAAGACTGCACAAATATAAACCTCTTTACCGTGGCCTACACGTACAACGTATGATAACGCTGGGGATTCTGACACGGTATACTAGTATACTGTTGGTATATATAGGTGGTGTGTTACGCCGAAGTGCTGTTATACCGGCTACACAGATACAGATACATTAGGGTCAAAAAGTAAGGAGCATTTGACCTTAAGTCAGTGGGTGTCACTTTCTAACCCTACTATACAGTCAAAATAGTTAGATGTTTAATATACTTTAACAGTGTCACAATATGTTGTACCTGTCGGCCACGGTACCTCAGTCTTCATTCAACCAATGGTTTTAAGTGGACTGAATACTTGTTAGATCTACATGTGTACATGACACATGTAGATCTACACCTCAATCTACATCTCAAGCAACTAGCTCAAAAGCTGTGAGACGACATGGTAACATACTAAAGAAGTTTGGTACATATGTATATCAGAGTTCTCTTGCTAACACATCATGCTGTATGGGTTGATGTACATACATTTATAAACTAGTATGTATGTCTAAAATCAGTAGTCAATATCACTAGTGTATCAAAACTAAGAATGAAGAAACAACAACTTGATTTATTACCAAATACTCGTGTTTATTTAACATGGAAGTTGGGCATACAAGCCATTTTTTGTCATTTTACATCTCTCAAGAGCTCACAAAAGCAAAACAGAAAAGGGCATCACAAAAAAGAAAGAGCAAAAGGAATACATTTCTCTTGAAAATGTAAATAATTTCTTGAACCAACACATTCTGTCTTCTATAAACTTAGACTTGGTATCAACCCTTTTATACATTTCTCTGAAAGGGGAATCTACTAACACAATACTGCAACATTTCATGGGAACTGTGTAGGGTTGGTTTCTCTCTAGTTGCACAAGTATTCGTGAGCTCAACATGTAAGCTTTCCACCGTAATTTACTTTCTACGACACATAGTAATACAAAATAGACATGACTTTTTCCCTTTTTATGACACAGAACATAATTTTTTCTTTCTTTCTCAAACAAAGTATGTCGTATGAAGCAGACTCTGACTCAGGGGCATACAGGTGTTGAAGATCAAAATAAAGTATCCAACTATTCACATGACCAGTAATTTGACAAGTTACCGGTATAGGTCACCAGGACATAAGATATTACAACTGGCAAATTGATTTGGGCCTACTTTCAGGTGCAGTTAAAACTCGGCTAGAAAGAGGCTCTGTGTACTGACTGCATTAAAAGAACAGCTACTGTGAACTCTATGTAACTGGAAGTTTAACCTGATGAAATGTTCTTTCTGGTAGCCAATAGCTGGTGTGTTACACCAAAGGGCAGTTATACCCAATTACAGATACAGAAGCTGGTGTGTTACACTGAGGGTGTGTTATACCCGCTATACAGATACAGAATGATACAGATTGAGTCCATACCACAGAGGTTACTGTTACGATTGTTACCAGATTTCCTACATTGCTCTGGCTTCAAATACTAGTACTGTTTACAAATTGGACAGGGACTTTTACTGTAAAAAGAAATATCCTATTGCCCCTTACCATTTACTTATACAGCAAAGGTGAAATAAATAGATTTCAACCATTACAACTGAAACAACTTTCTACACGTATACCACTGGATAGCCCCTACTGTGATCATAGTGGTATGGGGGTGGTAGCACTTCTTTATACATAGAATATACCCTGAAACGGGCAAAAAAAGCCTCTGGTCTGAGGCATCACAAAAAAAAGAAACAACCACCACAGTCAGACAGCAAAAGCAGTTGGAATGCGCACCCATCTCTCACCATTCAAAAGCTACAGGACACAAACACTTGAGTACAATGCAGTATTTACATGCAAGCGGTATATTACTGGCAAGGAACGTTAACACACATATACACGTCTGTAACACCAAAGAACTAGGCACACTGATCTAAGGCTGTGTTAGAAACCCCAGTCCGAGGATGGCATTCCAACTGCAAATGCTGCCGGTATTGTAGAGACGGAAGTTAACGGCAGAATATACATGTACAGGGGAGGCTTTATACGCTAGGGACAGTGTACAGGCACTGATTTTATACAGTCTCTGGAATACAACATCAACAACAACGGCAGTCTGTAGATATACAATTTTTCAAGACGGTTTATACACTTTTCACGTGTTTTTGCTATGAAAAGAGAAGTTGCACGAAAACGGTTTTGCTTCACAACCAATATGGACAAGAACCGGATAAGTTGGTTAAGTAGGAATCAGTGGCAATGCTACTAGTCACTGACACATGCTATTGAGTAACTGCAATCATGGACTGATGCTGTATACCTTTTTATATGCACTTTATGAGTTGATTTTCTCCCACAATGTCATGCAATTTTGTAGAAATCACTCTTGAAAGAAAACTGGGGCAACATAGTCATTGCAAATGAAGGGCCTCTTGGGTGTAACACAAGTTGTTCCATTGTTGTAGTTGGACAGAGTTGATTGTTTTACTTCCATTCTTTACACAGACTGCCCCTGGTAAACCCCATCGGTGCCTGTCATTCTGTCAGAGATTGGCTTGCAGGCAACCTATTTATTATTTAGGTGCCTGAAATGCCAGCATCACTTTACAAGGCATTGCATCTTGATTTACAAATAACCTTCCAACGGAAACGCTACGACTTCACCTGTGTTCGACATAATTCTTTCGCTTTGAACTCCTTCTGAACAACAAAACCCCACAATTACCTCTTCACCATCAAAACTTGTGATCCTAGCTTATATCAAAATGAATCCCTTAACAAAACCGAATCAACTTAACAAAACGAAAATGGATCAATCTTTTCCCATCTTCTTCTTCTCGAGAGGAAGAATGGTTCCTTGTGTTGTTAGTAGCTTTTCAGTGGAAGATCTCTTTAGCAGCAGTTGTTCTACTGTACGGCGGCTTGCTGGGGTCGTTCCAGGTCGTCCAGGGAGAGGACCTTCTGTCCGGAGGGGAGGGAGGGGGCAGGCATGGGCTGGCGCAGCACGTCCTGTCCGAACCACTTGGCAAGGTTGTCGGCGGGGGTCGGGGACTTAGCCAGGGGTCCGCCCGGGCCGTTCTGGGTGGTGTGGCTGGTGATGATGTCTGGAGATGGGATCCAGAAAACAAAGCTTTTTTAACATGTCAATGTAGGTTAAACATCCAGGTTATAAGATATAATACTCGAGCCATCAAGAAACTCCGAAAGCTAAATTTTGATGTTGTACATGTGTTTTTGTATGGGGGAGGCAACTTGTAAAGGTGCGTATGCACCTGTTTTGCCCTCCCTTTCACTTTGTGAAAAATCAAAATAAGCAATAGACAAATAAGGCTGCTTGTAGCGAGGAAGACACAGTGGAAGTCCGAACAGAGTAAAGAAAGACTGATCGCAGCCAGAGGCTGTTTAAACAGCTCTGCTCTGAAGAACACACTGAATCAACCATTTGCTTGAGCATGGTAGAATCATTACGAGCATACAAACTTTTATTACAACAACAGCTGATAAACTTGTATGTTTGATACTGCACTCCATAACTTCTGTAAGAAAACTTCAGTAGGTTACTCCCCACCTGGTCGCTGGTGCAGGTGTGCCTGTGGTGAGACAGTTCTGTTGGGCTGCGGTGAGATGGTGCGCTGCATGAGCTGCTGCATGGCCACCTGCTGCCCCAGCCCGTTCTGCATGGCCAGCTGCTGCTGCAGCATGGCGGGGTGGGGGTGCGAGCCCGGGGGCAGGGACAGGTGCCGCATGTCCATCCCTGGGGGGGCTAAACCCATGGCCACCGCGGGGTGGGGGCCCTGCGGGACCATCCCACGCATCATGGACATGTGGTTGGGTGGGATCCCCACGCCGGGAGGAACCATTCCCATGCCGGGGTGGATGGGGACGCGAGGGACCATCCCGACGGGAACCTGGGGGACGGGGTGGCCGAAGAGGGGGTGGGGGCGTTGACGGGTGAGCGGTTGGAGGCCAGGCGCTTGTTGATGATGGCGGCGGCAATCTTGGCCATTTCTGTGGGACTGCGAGCGCGCTGGTCCGGGTTGGAGTCGGCCTCCTGTCCACCCTTTTGCTCCTGTCCGTCAGTGTCTGTTACAGAAGAAAAGGAAGAGATTCAACACTTAACCCAGAAACCATGGAGTGCAACAGTTAAAGATCTAAAGGTATACTGTATCAGCCCTTCAGAACTCAAGCAGGAAACATTTTTTTGGCAAAGAAACACTAGTACAAATGAAAGAAAGCTGAAGAAAAAAAGGAATCATCAAGAATGACAAAAGACAAGTGGTGGGTAGACGGGTTAATGGACTTTGGTCTCGATCCATCCCAGTGTTGGTCTTGTGAAGACTGTCCTTTGCTTATAAGGAACCAAACTATGGTACCAAATTTGTATTGGTGGTGAAACTGAGCAGCAGGGTGAAGGTTTAACAACCAGACAAAACCTTCAGCCCACCTTCCTTGTTCTTGTCCTGTAGCTCCTTCATCAGGCTGGCTACGGGCGAGTCTCGGTTCCCATGGTCCTTTGCTTCCTTCTCCTCCTTGTCCATGTCCTCTGCGTGCTTGTTGTGCAGCTGTCGGATAACGGCCGTTGGGGTGAAGGCGGCAGGAACACGGGGCTGGAACACCAATAAAAACCAGTTAACAAAAGTCTTAAAGGGAGTCTCTTAAAATAAAAAAAGATTCTCTTTGCAAGGCCGCTTTTCATTGAGGTCATGAGGGAAGAGGACAAAACATATAACAAAGATACACTTTATGAAACTTACAGCAGATGTTATCCTGCATTTCTCAAACCCTATCATATAAAAGACGGTTGCTTACCAGAGAGCAGCCTACATATATCCTACATCCTGGGCTGCCTACACTATTTCTGCAACACTTTGCAATAGAAACACTAAATTATTTCTGCAACATTATGCAACCTAACAACTACATAGCATCTTATAGTGACAACTTATATTGTGAAACAGCAGCATCTAACCCCACCTTGCTAGCTGCAGATGTGGGTGTGTGCTGGCCTCCCTGAGGAGGCTCCCTATGTGGGGCTCCTACGTGTGGAGGGCCTGCATGGGGGTGTCCCATCTGCTGTGGAGGCCTGTGCTGGGGAGGGGGGTGTGGGTGGAAGCTGGGGGAGTGAGCACGCCGCATGTTGTCCCGCTGCTTCTCTAACTGTTTCTTAATGACAGCCTCCTGCAGGATGCGCTGTGTGTGGATGGCCAGCTCCTGTGGGGAGGGCACACGGGCGAACGGGGGACGCACTCCGGGCGGGCTTCCAGACATGCCGTACTGTCCCTACACATGGGAAAACATCATGTCATTTCATTTGTGCCTGAACATTTGGCAGACAATGACAGCTCAGTATATGTATTTATACAGCTCTGTATACGTGTTCCGAAGACATGGCCACAGTAGGGGGTCTGGTATTCTTCCCAAATAATTCTTAAACTCATAATTCAATTAGACACTATATTCTGCTTACTGAGGGACAAATTTTGTTATTCTTTTCCTCTGACAGAGCTTCATCTTCATTCTAAAGTCAAATTTTCTTTTTTTTAAGGATTTATGAAGGATCACAAAGTTCTCCCCAAGAAGAAACCCCTATGCTGGCTGGGGGCCCCTAATAACAGCTTAGAGGGCCCCTAAGCTCTAAGAGCGTAGTGAGAACTATGCTGAAGGTAACTGGCTGTACTTACAGTCATGGGGGAGCCTGGCAGCTGTCCTGGGATGGAGGACGGCACCTGCAGCCCTCCGATCATACCTGGAGTGGGGGAGGGAACGGGAGAGAAACCTGCAACACAAATAGAGGGAACGAAACATCCGTACATAATCCAGGAATCTTAATCAAAGACAACTTTACTTGAGTTGTATGTCTGATTTTTCTGATTAACTAGACTTTTAGAAACTCTAATCAGTTGCTTGAGTAACAATTTCTTTTTGTGCTGAGAATCTGTTTGACAAACTGATTTGCGACCTACCGAGTGGAGATGGCACCCTGGGGGACCCCTGGGCCATGAGGAAGTCGTGTGGGGAGGGGGGTCGGTGCAGGAGGGGTGGGGAGGGCGCTCTAGGGGGTCGCTGGGGGTGGACCATGGGGGGGTGCTGTAGAGGGGGGTGGCCAGCTGCACCTGTCTGTTTCATCAGCTCCTGAAACAGACGGCAAATAAATTGTCAAAACATGATACAAAAGAAATGTTACTGCGAGTTACTGATTTTGAATAGAAGCCTATTTTACCTTTGTCTTACATCTATTGGCAACTTCTCACTAAGCAAGTTCTAGAAAAAAAGCCTGTCCACCTGAATGACATCCTTCGGAGGTTCTGGCCCTCTCTGGGCCTTCTGGTTGTCCATCTGCAGTACCTGCAGAGGTGACAGGGGGCGTCCATCTGGTCTCACCTGTAATAAAACATGTCCAACTTCATCCTTCTCATTTACCAGTTGTTTTAAATGCTGAACATTGCAGTACAGTGCAGAAAATCAAGTCTACTTCTTTCTACCTACATTCCCAACGTGTCTTGTTGAAGTGTGGGCTTCTCTTTCTAGGACTAAGCGGAAAGTCTCATAGAAAACATCCATTTGTCATATTGTTAAATGAAGCACTGTGGTAATGCTTGCAATCTCAGCTGTCAATTCTTATCTAAAGCTATCTAATAAGGATACTCCTACAGTACTTGCTGGCCACTCTACAATAGTTCCTATACTCTTAGCAGTATGAAGACAACCCCTAAGTCTCACCAGTGCTTTCGGCTGCTGTGGCAGGGTGCCCGTCGCCTGCATGGAGGCCACCAGCTTGTCAAATGCCGACAGTCCGCCCACAGGTCCTCCCTGCCTCTGGCCTGACATGGGTGGGGCCGGCTGCTGGGTGGGGACAGGTTGCCGTGGCAACCCCGGCTGGTGTTCTGGCGGGAGTTGCCGTGGAAACACTGGCTGCTGGGTGGGGGCCTGCTGGTGCTGTGGAGCCTGGAGAATGTTGAGGACGATCCATTTCACAGTTTTCTAATTTCAGAAAACAAAGTGCTAAACAGCCCTATACTTAAACAACCAGAACCTATAATTCAATGACAAACTCTTTATCTTGCATTCATTGTCAACGGTACAAATTCCACTTGAGTGAAGCAGCTATCGGTATGATGGCTGCTGCTATACTCACTTAGTTTCTCACAGTCATAAGTTTATTTCATGTCTTTATCATATCATATCATGCTCATTGTGCTACTTGCTCAATTTTCTTTAACATTTTTACTTTTACACTTACCCGTATTTGTACTTTAAAAAAATTCGACGGTCAAAAATTTGGGTAAGTCTAATTTTTATGTAGGAAATTACAGTTCAAACATATTTCAGAATAACTTCTACCAACACAGATGAACTTTCAAGCAAAGACAAGGCGTGCTGTACTGTACCCTGTGTGGTCCTGCCTGTTCTCCCTGTTGCTGCTGGTTCTGTATCACCATCTGTTTCAGCTCTGCCTCGATCTCCTGAACACTCTTCACACTGCCTGCCTCAGCTGAACACAAACAGAAGAAATCAGTAAAACTCATCAGGATATCATTAAAAATCTTCACAAAATCATGCAAGTCTTCACACTACATGCTTCAGCAGTTCAACTGGACACAAACATCACAAAATACAGCTAAAACTGCCCAAGAAGACCACTCAGGGGACTGCTAAGTCTGACCAATGTGGACAGGTGGTCACCATAGACAGTATTCCTAATACCTGTCAACTGGAAAAACCACCTTGGAGGGCAAAAAAAAAACGACCACACTGGCCAATAGGAACTTGTACACACATACATACACACATACATACAGGTTTGACTGTTTTATTATAATATTAGGGATCGATGTCTGTTATGAGACCTACCGTGCTGTTGAAGATGGTGATGTTTCTGTGACATGGTCTCCATCAGGGGGTGGACTGGGATCCGTGCCTTACTCAGCATCTCCAGAATGTTCACCTGAGCAGAGGAAGAAGAGGATTAAGTTCCGTGAATATGTTGATTTTCCTCAGACAGTAAAATTTCTTTGCTACCATGAAGACAAAGTGAACTACAGTAATTAAACAAGTAGCACCCCCTACCTTGTTGTGCTGCTCGCCTGGCGGGTAGATGAACGTCGCGGGCGGCGGGACCGGTGAGTGTCCGCCCTTCTCCTCCATCCCGGCTGTCAGCCGCTCCAGCTCCTCGTGGATGGACGAGCGGCGGCTGCTGGGGCGGCTGTTGCTACGGGAACCGGGCCGGCTGTTGCTGCGACTGCTGCTGCGGCTGCTGCCTCGGCTGGCGAACCAGCGGCTGAACCGGCTGCTGCTGGCAGCTGCACTCTCCTCCGGGCTCTGAGATATCTGTGGAGGCATGTTGAAGTGTTGTTTTGTTAATTTGTTTATTTATACAAACATAGGAGGAGGCATGGAGTGCAGCAAGAGGGATGAAGCTCCTCCTTTGAAGTAACTAATAAAAATACAATTATTATGACAAAACTACATATTCTTCTTTACTTTCGTACTGACACTTTTGGAAAGCTAGGTAGATAGTATAGCAAACTACCTTGAGAAACAGCAATCACTGATACAGCGTTACAAGTAATTTGTTCATATTTGTACAGAAGACATAGAAGACATAAACAAGAAATGTATGAAACATAGTGCAGGAGCAAGCCCTCCTAACCCTTTGAACTATACTAATCATAATGATTAGTAGTTATCATCATACAGTTAACATAAACCTACAGGAAAGCCTGGAATGTTTCCATCGATGTTGAAGAACTCGTCGAAGTTGAAGTCTCCACTGTTGGCAGCTGTAGGCTGCGCCCCACGCTCCCGCCCCTCCCCGTCCTGGGACATCTCAGGAGAACTCGAGCTGTTCGTCTCCAGACTGCCATTTCTGTCAGGCTGTTTGGTACTCACTGCAAGTCAAGACAGAAAAACAATCGGTTGAAACGAGAGTGAAAAAAGCCATCTCACTAGTTGTTTGGTACACATCTTGAGGACAGCTTGGAGGATGTTAGAATCCAGATTATAGATGATTATCTACCAGTAGCTCAGATCCTATGGAAAAGCATGTTCAAGAACAGGCATTGTGAGGATGAAGCAGAACTTGGTTGCTTGTAGCTTGTGTGTGACTTGTGTAAAGCCAAGACCAATGAGTGACATGCAAGTGTAGTGTACTATGGGTGCAGGCACCTTACAGGGCACAGAAGAGTACAAAATACCAAAGCCCTTCCTTTTTGCAAGGAAAGGGTATGTTAGGTGGGAGCATTCATACACTTGTAAAGAAAAATAACTGTAAAGTGAGTATGTATCAGAGATATATTGTGTTTGGTGTTTCTTTCACAGAATGAGTAAGTGTTGTTGTTGCCTCCAAGAGCTCTCTTGTTAACTGTGGCAAGCACAGTGGTTGTTGTTAGACTGTGGCAAGCACACCTTCCTAGCTTTGACAGGGAACCGGAAATTTACCTTCACCGTTTAACATAAAGTCAACACTGTCGGTTTCACAGGGCAGGGTTTCACTCGTGAACATGCCTTTCTTGTTGTCCCGTTTCTTGCGCTCCACGTAGTCCTCGTAGCCTCCCAGCTCGATGGTGTCTGACTGGCTGGTGGGGCCCGCCGAAAACCACTCCGGCTCCTCCGCAGGACGGTCTGGGAAATGTACACAGGGTTCATTTAGACCTAAAAAAAACTGCATCAAGCAGATTCCTTATCTATTATATTTGATACATGCATATCCTTGCCTTTGTATGTCAAATTTGTTTCAAGTATATTCAAAGACATTCAAGAACATGATATGTGAATTTTCACATTGTCAGCTATCTAATCTTGAAGGATGTACTCTTATGCTTGACAAATATAGCAATGATAAAAAATCTTTCTAATGCACAGGGGAGTCTGTTCATACTACAATTTTTAATATCATACTTATTACTGATGCAAAATTGAAAAAAATTGGGACTATGAGACACAGACTTCCGAGTCGTGTTCTGAGATTCAGTTAAAATTGTACTTACTGTGGAGTCTTGAGCGTCTCGAGGCATCATGCTGTTGCTGGAGGTGAGAGAATAATTATTTTTACAGTTAGGCCCTTACACAACACAAGATCAAAAGGTATGAAAGGTATCAATCTCTCTTAAGGCCTGCAAAAATATTTAATAGCATTATATTTTATTTGAAGTATTCGGAATTTCCTCACGTACTAAAAGTTTGCTATCTTGTTTGCTTACCCGGTCTCTGCCTCCTCTGTCCCTGTTGCGTTCCTTGAACTCCATCTCTCGATCACCTCTCCCGAAGTCTCTGTCCCGGAGGTCTCTCAGATCTCTGTCCCGGTCTCTCAGGTCCCTGCCTAGATCTCTGTCCCGGTCCCGCCCATCCCTGCCGAAATCTCTGTCCCGGTCTCGGCCGTCCCGGCCCAGGTCCCGGCCATCCCTCGCGGCCTCTCTTTCTCGTTCGTAGAGGTTCAGGCGCCCACTGCCGATCCGACGCTGGTTCCCGCGCCCTGACTCGTTCTCCCTTCTATCCAGGCGGTCCATGGGGCTACCTCGACCTAAAACATTTTCAACAATTTTATTTGCATTCTCTAATGCTCATTAATACTACATGTAACATGCTTGGGTGAAACAACGTTGAAACATCATAAGAAGTATATTTTTCAGGAACTAAAATACCAACATTAAGTCTTTTCTGTGGAATCTCAGTCCAGTGACTGTAGATACAATGATTTCACAACTAAGACAACTGTGAAAGAAGCCACTAGGGAGAGTATGGGGCAAAAATATGCTGTATGTGACTCAGAAAACACCATGTCAACACAAGTACAGGTAAGCTGTTGACTGACTGTACCTTTTTCATTGTTGGATGTCTGAGTGGTGACCTGACAGCCGCTGCCAAAACTGCGTCTCTGTGGGCTCAGGACTATGCCGTCCTTGTCATCCTCACGAACACGCTCTCGGGGATCTGCAAATATAATGTTTGAAGAATTTAACAGAAGGCCGAAAATTGAACTTGACCTTAGTCTTCTCTCGATGAACCCACATACCAAATATCATCAGAATTCATTCATAGCTTCATTAGTTATTGTTGGCCAAAGTATACAGAAACACATTAAGCTAAACATGCGAACAAATACACACCAAAAAGAATACCTCACTTTCACAGGGATAAAGAGCCATAGAATACAATCACTTTTCAAAATGACAACATAGACTAAGATACCAGCTGGATCCATCCACAAGGCAATACAAAAAATGGTACTTTTGCAAATTACCTGCGAAAGATTTCCGTCGAATCTCCCTGTCCGTGTCGCCTGTTCGTGAGCGCTTGTGATCGTCTGGTGCTGGCGAGCTGGTAGCAGAACGCTTTCCCGACACGGACGCGTGCCATCGCTCCGGGTCCCAGATACCCTCCGGGCTAAGGTCAAACAAAACATATGTAACCAGTGACTAACCACAACTGCTTCTATTTTGATTGGTTGATAGCAAGTTGATAATTATTTTTTTACCTCAAATCTACTAAACCCTCTTATCCTGAGGCAGTGATCGAGAATCTCATTAACATAAATGTAGTTCAAATCTAGTTCAATAAAAAAAGTGTCTTTTGAGAGCTTTGTGTGTTTGGCTGCCTGGCAAATTATACTTGGATCATAGTCCAATTCAGTAAGTCATAGGTCATACAAATCCAAAAATATGGGAATGTTGTGGACTTACCTGTCAAACTCTTTAGATAGGAAAGCTGGTCTCTGTTTGGAGGGCCCACATTTTGCCAAGTTCATTAACTCTTCCTGTAGACAAGACATGGGGATTCAGTAAAAAAAAGTTTTCTTCTGAACGTAGAAGGATTTCCATATGCAGTAAGCAAAGATCATGAAATGTCAGCCAAAAATACAAATGCTTGTTGTTCCATACAACTTACAAATACAAGAAAAAAACAACCCCAGCTCAAGTTATTTTGTGATCAAACAATAATCAAACCACGTGTGAAGAACTCAAACTCAAAGGAGATCTAAGTCCCATCCATGTTTTGGACATCTGGTTCTAAAGAAGGTAAAAGTTTTCCCACCTTGTTGTATCTGTGCTTAGGCAGTTTCGGTTTATCAGTCTCGGCTTCTGGAGGGTCCGCAGCATCTTGCTCTTCCTTTTCCTTCTTTTCCTCTTCTTTCTTTTCATTCTCCTTGTCACTCTCTTCCTTTTCCTCAACCTTCTCCATCTCTCCTGTCTGCCTGCCTCTACCTCTCCGCCTGAAGAAACAGTACAGAGTACAGATAACCTATGTTGATGTCAGTCGGTCAGGAAGTGTGCATAGTCTGGAGTGGTTAGTGACCCTGCCTCTGGATCTAGAAGTCAAATCCAGGCTGATATACTATCTTACCACTCCAAGTAAAAAGGCACATTACCTAAAAGGGCCCAAACTTTGTGGTGACCAACAAATAATACACAATGACATCAATCTAGAGAAGCACAACTACTGAACCACCAGAAAATGCTGATTTCTATCTCCCTTTCAAATGCAAAATTTCCAGTAGCAAATTTTGGCCATGTTTTCTTTTTTCCCGAACTATGGTACTAGTAATTGGTATGGTAAATTTAGCATTTACACCTCTCACTGCTCAGAGGTACCACTTTTCCATCAAATTTGTATTGGTAATGAAGTTAGGCAGCAGGAAGAAGTTGTTAATGTAATGGCAGACAGTGTCAAATGAAGTTTGGATTGTCATGTTCCAGAATATTCACAAATTTGTGTTCCATGAGAAATTATACAACATACATACATACCTGATTTTATCAATTTTATCAGAATACAGTCTATAGTAATTATGGAACAACTATGAAGAGTTTTAGCAGTCACAGATTTCAAATTTAAAACCCATCCTGACCAATCATGGCACAATTCAAATTTAAAGCTCATCATGGCCATTAAACACAAGATATGTCGCACCCCTCAACACTATTGTGTTGTTAATTATTAATCCCACAATGACTCATGACACTAAAACAATAACACAACAATCATGTAAGAACATGCTCATGTTTGCAATCTAAGGAATTAATTTGAATTAAAAAGAAACCTGTAAGTGTGAAGTTTGTTGCAACAAACTTCATTGTATCAAAATTACCACATGAATTGCATCAAGAAAATACAACAAAGCTTATTTGCAAATTACATGACAAAATACTTGTACAGTAATGAAAACACAACGATTACTTTAAAATTACACCACATAACCTGTATAATACTTCAGTAGAGTTATACTTATCTACAAAAGCTTAAAATATGAGAAAGTCCATTTTCTGATTCTGACACAAAAGGAAAATTGACAAGAGCTCATTTTGACAGGTTAACAAAACATTATGCCTAAAATTGTTACATAATTTGCAACAATTGCTACCCGGTAGACTCCTAGAAATTAAACTATGACACTACTGGAAAATTTTATCTAGGTTGACCATTTCTGACCTTACCTTTTTTGTTTCGTCAAAAAAGTACAAATTTTCAACAAAAAAAAAAAAGTGAGTCATAAAAAATGACGAAATGACATGGCGGCCATATTTGCGTCATGCCTTCAACAGCGAGGCACAAGAAGAAAAACCAAAGTCACAGAAAAACGGCCTTCCGCCGAAGGATTCGGGCTCTTAAGTCCTGGGATAAACGCTGGCAATTTTCGAAGATATATCATAGAGATGCGCAGGATTTGAAACTTTGCCAGGTGCAGCGAGAGATGGCTCGGCGGCCTTCGCGCCACGTACCTTCACTTCAACCGCGCGGCGTTCCCTCCTAACACCTTTCCCTGAGCTTCGAGCCTCGTCAAACGTTACAAGAATAACCTTAACACACAATATGACACAATGGCCGCTCCTAAAGGGTCACAAAGTCGTGCATTTTGGAGACATAAACAACTACACTTTGACAACAAACCAAAATACTGATACTGCAGCTGCTAACAGTGGAAGCGGAATGCCCGGATGAACGCATGCGCTCTCAGTAAAAAGGCAATTTGCATAAAGGTCAAGTTATTACTTCCGGTTGTCAGTGAAACCTGTTGTTCCACAGCTAACCGCTAGGTGCGCTTCTGGTGTCAGGAAATCTCCAGACGGCCCCAGAGAGTCTTTTATCCTCCCCGATTTGTGGAGGATATTAAAAGAGCCTGGACCTAAAATAGGTCCGGTAACCAGGCTAAGACTGATCTCGAAGCAGATTCTGTGGGGCAAGGGGCTATCCACCCTCCCGAGCAGGGTTAATAGTGGCTCGGCCCGAAGGGTCCTCCTCAACTAGCTAAATTTCGGGCCGAGCCACTAACCCTGCTCGGGAGGGTGGGCTAGCTAGGTCCTGTAAGCATTACATCACTTGCCCCACAGCCTCTGCTAGGAGATTAGACATAGAATCAAGACATATGCTAGTCTTCACTCTCGACTAAAAAACACTTTATTTTGCGACGATTATTTCAATGTCCGTATGACGGAGGATCCACCTGAATGACATTGTACCATTGTACAAACATTGGTTCTAAAGCTAACGTTACCAAGGACAACAGCTTTGTGTGTACCCAGCGAGTACTAGTAACATGTCGCATATACGGTGGTGGATGAATACTTAACGATGCCTCTGGTCGATAGGCAGGAGAAACAGTACCAGTTGTAACCGTTAGAAGTTTTATTGCTCTTCTGCGTAGCGCCAGTTTTTGAACAGTACGAACGTCACCTTTCATGTCCTAGATTAATCCAATGTGACAACTCTTGTGTTAAAATATGATAGACATATACAAATACTACATTGTAGTATGATAAATTACCCAACTTATATGTTGCTTCAATTGAGATTCGTGTAGAAAAAAATGGTCGACGTCATTACCTTTTTTGACATCTTAGGCACGAAGTGATAAATATGGTCTGGTAGAAAACTTACCGTGTCGATCTTTCTTTAGCCTGGATGAATGAATGGACGAATAGGGATACTTATATTCATTAATATAGAACTTCCCCTTTTTTCCCCTTTAAGGACTTTTATGGCATGCCATAAGGACTTTTATGGTACAAACAGTACGTGAATTCTTTACATGTTTAGTTCCACCTGACCTGGACCGTGAGTGGACTGTTCCGTCTTTTGGCGACGGCTAGAGAACGTATAGAGTCTGTTTATGTGTGCTATAAAATTTTAATTATACGTCCTTCGTACAACAAAAACAAAGTAGCACAACAACTACTGTGGCTGAACTTCTGGCAGTATGAAAAACTACGTTCAAAGAAAATTCAGGGACCTGGAAGTATATACTTCCTCATAAGAGACGTATAAGGTGATTATATGTGAGACGCAGTCATGGTCTCGTGACTGACAAAAGAGGAACCAAACGCTCAAGAGGAAAAAGCTGAAGGAGGAAATGGTTATACTAGGCGACTCAGGGACCATGTGCAACATGAGGAAAAATACTTTGTCCCTCGTTGTCATCGTCTGTCTTCTCGCTCTTTCCGACTGGACGTCCGGAGTGGTGGTGAATCGGTCGGCCAAGATCCCGGAGAATGCCGGCATTGGAGAGCAGGTTATCCGCGTTGTACCGACCGCACAGGGAGCCAAGGAGGAAGTGATATGTGAAATCATCGACGGAAACGTTCACGGGCGTTTCAGTGTGACTCGGGACTGTGTGATTGTAGTCGCCCGTCCTTTAGACTTTGGTTTAAACCGAAGGTACAACTTGACAGTAGCCGTCCCTGGAACACCCGAGACCTGCTATGTTGACCTACAAGTCGAAGACGTGGACGGATATCCTCCTATCTACAACGACACCTGCGAACTGCCGGTCCTGGGAAACGACAGAGCGACTGGACAGCCTGTTATTAACGGGATAATGACAGGGGAGTACATGGAAAAAGGTGCCGGCCTGTTTGTTCTGAGAACTGACCTAAACCAGCGACTCCGAGGTCATCAGCATAGTCATGACGACAAAATTGATATCTACACCGACAGTGACTGTCACGTTACTGTTGTAGTCGGTATAGACAGTAACAGAGACATGAGAACGGTTTACGGCTTGACGCTTTCTGGGTTGTATTTCTTACGATGTTTTCACCCACTTGACCATGTACAAGTCTTTGAAGGTGCAATCATCCTAGGAGACACGGACTTCGCGCACTACGTTGACCGAACATCGTATGTCTGGACTAAACGGAAGTTCAAGCTGTTGATTTCTTTCATAGTAAAGTCAACAGAAACACAGCGTTTGGTCTGCCGCCTGCCACATGGAAGACCAGTTTCTATGCCGATCAGTCGAGGAGGTGTACCTGATGAAGTTTCTGTGAGTAGAGTTGAACTGGAGATCCAGCCCGTCGGGTGTCCACCGAACAAGTACGGTTTGACCTGTGACCAAAACTGCACTTGTGAGAACGGTGCCCGCTGCCATGGGCTGAATGGGGCCTGTAAGTGTCAACCTGGGTGGACAGGAGTCGTCTGTGACATACCTCACAGCACCGTCGTCATCATTGCGTCCCCTAGCAGCTCGTCACAGATCTACATCAAGGGTTCTTTGACATTATACTGCAGGTCTTTCCATCTAGCTGTTGAGAAGATGGTTTGGAAATTTCCCAATGAAACAAAAAAGAGACTACAGGGGACACAAGAAGATGAAATAAGGATTGAAAGCGTCCAGTCCGAACACAATGGTACCTACACTTGCATTGTTGTTACCGAAGACAAGACGGTCGTTCAGGCAAGTTACGAGCTTCAGGCAGTCGCTTGTCTCCCCGGCAAAAGAGGCGAGCTGTGTGAAGACGACTGCGGCTGTCTCCAGGGTGCCGTCTGTGACCGGTGGGCCGGCTGTGTCTGTCCGCCGGGATGGACGGGAAGAACATGTGAGGCAAGATGCCCGGACGGCACATACGGACGGGGCTGCAGCGACGAGTGTCTGTGTCAGAACTGCGCCGCCTGCGACCCTAGCGACGGGCAGTGTAACTGCACCAATGGATGGTATGGTGCTCACTGTACCCTTCCATGTCCGAGCGGCCAGTACGGATGGAGATGTCGGCATGTCTGTGGCTGTAAGAACAACGCCACGTGCCACAATGTCGATGGGAGCTGCGCTTGTGCGGCGCCCTGGACCGGTCAGTGGTGTGACGTCATACAAACTGAGACATCGACATCCTTGTTGCCACTACAGGTCTCTATCCCCCTTTCATTGACACTGCTTGGTACGTTGGCCGCGCTTTACAAATGGAGGAGGGCCACCCGGACGAAGAAAGGCCTAGAGGAGGTGCAGGCTCTTCTCGAACTTAGCAGTGTGGAAGAAGACCTTACGGCTGCAGGGTCTACAGCCCGGCTGGCTTAAACGGTGGGAAAGGAGGGCGAAGGATCTGACTTTGGGCAATCTGATTGGTCAGGGTGCATTCGCCTGTGTCAGAGAAGGGAGTTTACGCACCGCGAACGCTGACGTCACAGCTGTAGCGGTCAAGTCCGTCCGTTCCGAGAACAGACTGTGCTATCGAGCCTTCTGTCGCGAAGTAGCGATGTTGGTAGCTTTGAGCGAAAACTGCCAAGACCGAAACGGGCATTCAAACATCATTAAGTTGTTAGGAGTCATCACAAAGTCCTCACCAATGTGCATTCTCTTAGAATATGCTGCCAAAGGGGATCTCCTGCAAATTTTAAAGCAACATCCTAGAGATAATGTTGCTCGTCTTCTGGGCAGGTTTCTCCGCTACGCAGTCCATATATCGCGTGCCCTGAAGGAGCTCCGATCTCTGCGTATCGCTCACGGTGACGTGGCCGCTCGAAACGTTCTCGTCACTGGAGATGACGCCAAACTGTCCGACTTCGGTCTGGCCCATGACGTGTACACCACTACTGCTTACGTCTCCGCAGACAGAAGAGGGGTCGACGAACTCTTGCCTCTGAAGTGGATGGCTCTGGAGTCGCTGGAGTCTCGCAAGTTCACCTGCGAGAGCGACACGTGGTCTTTCGGCGTGCTGCTGTGGGAGATCGCGACGGGCGGGGAGGAGCCCGACTATCGGCAGGAGTTGATCCAACAGAGTTGTCCCAACGGCGGGTTAGTCGGGATCCTGAGACAGGGATATCGTCTTCAGAAGCCGCCCAGATGTCCGGACGGACTGTATGACGTCATGACGTCGTGTTGGCAGGAGAAACCATCCGCCAGACCAGAGCCAACGGATCTCGAGCGGAGGCTGACAGACTGTCGCCGAGAAATGGACCCACTGTTTGTCATCGAGAAGGTGTCCGCAGTTTGAGAGTAAAAAAATGAACCGATTTCAAGCAGATTTAATGTGAGGGATCTGCTTCAGAGTTCACATGACTTTCACTCGTTTTGAATTGCATGTACAAATCGTTTAGACAGCAATTGCACCCCTAATAGCCTAGAACTAACGCCACACACAATGAAATATGTGTATGATATATGCTGGTAGATAGTCTTGCAAGACACTTGTCTTTGATATGGTCAAACATGAAAGTTACTCTTTATCATAAGTTTTTTATTTGTCGATTCATGTACTGTGTGCTGCGTATACGATGGTGTAATGCATTTGTTTTTAAAATCGACTACTGTCGAGACAGGGCCCAGATTTAGGCTACCAAACGTGAATGGTATTCTGCATTTAATCAAGGACATTGTGTAGAATTATACACGAAAGGATGTACTCTATGTGACTTTATTTATAACTGTAGCATAACTTTCTTTCTACGGTCTTATCATTATAACTTTACTTCTTACCATAATTTTACAAAGTCTGATAGGTTAGCGGAGTTCAATAACTTTGAATTAAGATCTGACATATAAAGGACAGGGACCCAAGTGAACCTCAGTCTGTCTTCAATTCCCTCAGTCGTGATCGAGTGCAGACACCAATCATATAGCATACGAAACAATATAAATCACATCTCCTTCGTATAACAAAATAGCTTAGCAATCACTAGTACACTGAGTACTGTGGCTGAATTGCAGGCAGTATACAAAAGTCATCCTCCCATGGCAGGGTCAGCGGCTCCGAGTTCCTTCTGGAGAAGGAACTCGGAGCCGCTGACCCTGCCATGGGAGGATGGCAAAAGTACGTCGAAACAAAATTTAGGGACCTGAAAGTATGTACTTCCTCATAAGAGACAAAGCTGGTGAGGTAAGATGATCATGCGAAACGCTGTCATGGTCTCGTGACTGACAAAAGAGGAACCAAATGCTCAAAAGGAAAAACTTGAAGGAGAAAATGGTTAAAATATTCACCTCAGGGACCATGTTCAACATGAGGAAAAATACTGTGTCCCTCGTTGTCATCGTCTGTCTTCTAGCTCTTTCCGACTGGACGTCCGGAGTGGTGGTGAATCTGTCGGCCAAGATCCCGGAGAATGCCGGCATTGGAGAGCAGGTTATCCGCGTTGTACCGACCGCACAGGGAACCGAGGAGGAAGTTCCGTGTAAAATCATCGACGGAAACGTTCACGGGCGTTTCAGTGTGACTCGCGACTGTGTGATTGTAGTCGCCCGTCCTTTAGACGTTGGTTTAAACCGAAGGTACAACTTGACAGTAGCCGTCCCTGGAACACCCGAGACCTGCTATGTTGATGTACAAGTCGAAGACGTGGACGGATATCCTCCTATCTACAACGACACCTGCGAACTGCCGGTCCTGGGAAACGACAGAGCGACTGGACAGCCTGTTATTAACGGGATAATGACAGGGGAGTACATGGAAAAAGGTGCCGGACTGTTTGTTCTGAGAATTGACCTAAACCAGAGACTCCGAGGTCATCAGCATAGTCATGAAGACAAAATTGATATTTACACCGGCAGTGACTGTCACATTACTGTTGTAGTCGGTATAGACAGTCACAGAGACATGAGAACGGTTTACGGCTTGTGGCTTTCTGGGTTGTATTTCTTACGATGTTTTCACCCACTTGACCATGTACAAGTCTTTGAAGGTGCAATCATCATAGGAGACGCGAACTTCGCGCACTACGTTGACCGAACATCGTATGTCTGGACTAAATACAAGTTCAAGCTGTTGATTTCTTTCATAGTAAAGTCAACAGAAACACAGCGTTTGGTCTGCCGCCTGCCACATGGAAGACCAGTTTCTATGCCGATCAGTCGAGGAGGTGTACCTGATGAAGTTTCTGTGAGTAGAGTTGAACTGGAGATCCAGCCTGTCGGGTGTCCACCGAACAAGTACGGTTTGACCTGTGACCAAAACTGCACTTGTGAGAACGGTGCCCGCTGCCATGGGCTGAATGGGGCCTGTAAGTGTCAGCCTGGGTGGACAGGAGTCGTCTGTGACATACCTCACAGCACCGTCGTCATCATTGCGTCCACTAGCGACTCGTCACAGATCTACATCAAGGGTTCGTTGACATTACGCTGCAGGTCTTTCCATCTAGCTGTTGAGAAGATGGTTTGGAAATTTCCCAATGAACAAAAAAGAGACTACAGGGGACACAAGAAGATGAAATAAGGATTGAAAGCGTTCAGTCCGAACACAATGGTACCTACACTTGCATTGTTGTTACCGAAGACAAGACGGTCGTTCAGGCAAGTTACGAGCTTCAGGCAGTCACTTGTCTCCCCGGAAAAAGAGGCGAGCGGTGTGAAGACGACTGCGGCTGTCTCCAGGGTGCTGGGTGTGATCGGTGGGCCGGCTGTGTCTGTCCGCCGGGATGGACGGGAAGAACATGTGAGGCAAGATGCCCGGACGGCACATACGGACGGGGCTGCAGCGACGAGTGTCTGTGTCAGAACGGTGCCGCCTGCGACCCTAGCGACGGGCAGTGTAACTGCACCGCTGGATGGTACGGTTCGCACTGTACCCTTCCATGTCCGAGCGGCCAGTACGGATGGAGATGTCGGCATGTCTGTGGCTGTAAGAACAACGCCACGTGCCACAATGTCGATGGGAGCTGCGCTTGTGCGGTGCCCTGGACCGGTGAGTGGTGTGACGTCATCCAAACCGAAACATCCTTGTTGCCACTACAGGTCTCTATCCCCCTTTCATTGACACTGCTTGGTGCGTTGGCTGCGCTTTACAAATGGTGGAGGGCCACCCGGACGAAGGAAGGCCTAGAGGAGGCGCAGGTTCTACTCGAACTTAGCAGTGTGGAAGAAGACCTTACGCAGGGTCTGCAGCCCGGCTGGCTTAAACGGTGGGAAAGGAGGGCGAAGGATCTGACTTTGGGCAATCTGATTGGTCAGGGCGCATTCGCCTGTGTCAGAGAAGGGAGTTTACGCACCGCGAACGCTGACGTCACAGCCGTGGCGGTCAAGTCCGTCCGTTCCGAGAACAGACTGTGCTATCGAGCCTTCTGTCGCGAAGCAGCGATGTTGGTAGCTTTGAGCGAAAACTGCAAAGAACAAAATGGGCATTCCAACATAATCAAGTTGTTTGGAGTCACAAAGTCCTCACCAATGTGCATTCTCTTAGAATATGCTGCCAAAGGGGATCTCCTGCAACTTTTAAAGCAACAGCCTAGAGATAATGTTGCTCGTCTTCTGGGCGGGTTTCTCCGCTACGCAGTCCATATATCGCGTGCCCTGAAGGAGCTCCGATCTCTGCGTATCGCTCACGGTGACGTGGCCGCTCGAAACGTTCTCGTCAGTGGAGATGACGTCGCCAAGCTGTCCGACTTCGGTCTGGCCCATGACGTGTACACCACTACTGCTTACGTCTCCGCAGACAGAAGAGGGGTCGACGAACTCTTGCCTCTGAAGTGGATGGCTCTGGAGTCGCTGGAGTCTCGCAAGTTCACGTGCGAGAGCGACACGTGGTCGTTCGGCGTGCTGCTGTGGGAGATCGCGACGGGCGGGGAGGAGCCCGACTATCGGCAGGAGTTGATCCAACAGAGTTGTCCCAACGGCGGGTTAGTCGGGATCCTGAGACAGGGATATCGTCTTCAGAAGCCGCCCAGATGTCCGGACGGACTGTATGACGTCATGACGTCGTGTTGGCAGGAGAAACCGTCCGCCAGACCAGAGCCGAGGGAACTCGAGCGGAGGCTGACAGACTGTCGCCAAGAAATGGACCCACTGTTTGTCATCGAGAAGGTGTCCGCAGTTTGAGAGTTAGAAATTGAACCAGTTTTCAAGCAGATGTAATGCGAGGGATCGGCTTCAATGTTCACACGACTTTCGCTCGTTTTGAATCAAATGTACAAATCATTTAGACAGCAATTGAACGCATATTAGCCAACACAGTATTACGCCACACATAATTAAATATCGGTATGATATATATGTATGTTTGTTAAAAGGAATAGAACAAGATATGAACTTTGGTAGATAGTCCTGTTGTAAGAATCACTTGTCACTTGTGAGTGATTTGGTCAAAAGTGAAAGTTTTGTTTTCATATATATTTCAATACTGTGTAGACAGGGCCCCAGATTTAGGCTACCAGACGTGTATGTTATTCATCATATAATCAATGACATAATGTAGAATTTTTACTCCATTGGACTTTATTTAATTACTTATAACTCTAACGTTATGATAACTTTACTTCTTACTTTTTACAATTGTAACTTTATTTCTCACCATGATTTTACAAAGACTGATAACTTAGTCTATTTCAATAAATTTGGTGTCTCTTTTACTTTTAAAATGCTGATAAATATTTCCGAAAAGATATGCCGCCCACTTCATCTCTAAGTCTGTAAATGTGCGCCACCTTGCGGCACATGCTGCTACGGCAGTCTTGGAAACAAGCCTATCAGACTCGCCCTAAACTGCGACATTCGGTATTACTTCCGGTCTAGACGATGACGTCAGGGTAGACCGTCCAATCAAGGCTCTTGTGAGAAAGAGGTTCGGTAGTACAGCTTAACTTCCGGTCCAGATGATGAGGTCAGCGCCGCCTGGGTGGAATGCTGTGGACCGAAATTTTGACAACTGCAAGGCAAAGAGCAAAATTATGCAACGAAGATCGTGACAAATGATCGCTTTCGGCTGGAATGGAGAAGTTTTTGGAGTCGCCGATAGACAGGTGAGGCTAAGCAGTTGGGCGGAATTTCCCGAAATCGTAGGCGTGTGCGCACACCGTGTACTGACGGAAATATAGCAGATCCGGATTTTGACAGGACGAAGCGAGTTTAGAAGAGATTTGTCCGGATAATAAGGAAGTAATCTTGCGAATATTACAGCTATTAAGTTTGTAGTTATATAACAGAAGCTCTGATAGCGAATGTTGTCGTCACAGTGTTCTTTTAGCCACGACGCCATTGTTGAGAACTAGAGGTAGGGAGGGTTACTCATAAATTATATCACAACCGCATAAATTGATCTGAACAAAATTAGCTTTTTGTGTGTGACTAGAACCCATGACGAAAAGAGCACCCATGGGTAACGTGATGCGAGCAGAATATTTTATATTCCTGGCACTTACGCAAAAAGTAACGGTTTACGTTTCATGTAAGGTGCCTTTATCGGTAAATGTCAAATCATGTTGAAATTTTAATATCTAGGATATGATCAGATATCGCACTCAGATTATTGTTCAACCGAGAACTATTGTAAAGTAGAATTCTAGAGAGTTGCTGTAGTTTTCAACGTTATTGTTGGTAGGATTCAGTAAAAGAAATGTCTACAAATTTGCCTTAAGGAAGTTTGCACAGATTGGGTGTGGTTGGGGTGAGTTAAGGGCATCAGAGATGTTGTCTTATGGACTACAAATATCATTTTCTTGCACCTGTGACTCAATTTGAATTCTATCAGTTCACCAGTGACATGATATGATAATTAGATGTATATATAAGATGAAATCATCTTCATGTACAAAGGTCATGGGTCAACATGAGAGAAAACAGTAGGCCAATGGCTGATGTTGATTTATTAGAAGATTGTGTGACCCAAAGGTCAGGAATGTGGGAAACTGTTACCTGTGTTGTTCCCATATTTGTTTTTAAGCAAAAAATTATAACCGCTCTTTTGAAGTTGAACTGTATACTCTGTCAAGGTTTATTTTCATCATTGTCTGCTACATATATTGTCTACAACACCCAGATTTTTCACGGTTTTTGTTGGATGTTTCATTGTTTGGTCAACGTTGCATCTAAGTTTGCCTGTTGCAGACGATATCTTTTCCAACACAACATTTGAAAATATAGAACGAACGTCATTCTTGGAAATTAAGTTAATGCGTGAATATATTATATATAAACCTTAAACGAGATGTTCTGAAGTGCTTTGCACAATACATTATACTTTATAGCTTTAGTTTACAGGTGTTTATGTCAGCTTTAGTTTACAGGTGTGGTACTTTCTCCCAACGTGTGTGGTATTTATATATACAAGAGTAATAATGTGTACCTTATCTCTATGTAGGTCCACAGACTAGGCAGGAGTAGAGCGATCACTTTCATGTTGGAGCAGTTGAAGGCCACAGACGATGTCGACCAGCCACAGCCAGACTAACTCCCCGACGGGGATCAAGCCCATCCCGGCGGTCCACGAACTCTCGGTGTCGCGCGACACCCTCGGCACCTGCACCTCCATCACGGACACCGTGGAACTGGAAGGTTCCACTAACACCTTGGGGAGTAGTGACGTGGACTCGGAGATGAACGGAGGGATGGGGGGAGCCATGGGGGAGGACTGGGAGGGGTCGCTGCTGAAGAAAGTGGACAGATACGGGTTCATGGGAGGGAGTCAGTACACAGAGGATGGGTAAGTGACTACACAACTCAGGGGTCACCCCAGAAATTCTTAGGGTGGAGGTGCTCCCTCCTCGGTTGATGAAAACTCTGCGAATTTTCATTAAGATATCAAGAGAAAACCCTAAATTTGAACATTTTGGGAGAGGTTTTAAGATTTGGGGGAAAGGGGGAGCACCCTTGCTTGGGGAGAGCTCTGTAACTGGTACTAAATTTACATACAAATTTTGTACTTATGTTTAAACTTTAATAAAGTATTGTTTTTACAGGTTTCACAGATTATGGGTTCTAAGTAGTTTCTATGATATTGAAGATTCTGAAAGGAGAAAGTTGTTTTACACATGGAAATGTCAGAATCAATGAACTACCAGTAAACTTTTAGTTTAACACTAGATCTTCTGCAAGGTAAAGATGGATACATTCACATGGACAGTCATCATAGCATGACTCATTGAGTCCTGGAAATTTTCTCTGTAGTCTCTGCCTACTAATAAACATTATGTCAGCCTGTCTGATGTGGACTGTCTGAAACTGAAAGTGTAACTCGAATTTGACTCTTGCATGGAGTGTTTGTAAAGGTTTTTCACTTTCTATTCCAAGTAGAAGAAAAAGTCATCACTCTACATCTTGTGTACTATCAGTGCATGGAGAGATAACAGTATACATGACATGCCCCTCTCCCCAATTGTCTTACTGAAAGAAATCTGATAATGTATCTAGAGCTATTTGTGCTATGAAAGTGTTTTTAATAGTTTTCATTTGAAGAGATTGTGCTATCCTGATCTACATGTATGTCTGTACATATATGTTTGAGTTTCCCTTGATAGTGATACATATGTATAAGGACACCACTCTCTGACCTAGCTTTGCTGTGTGAAGACACACACACTCACTGTGTGTCTTGTCCAGGCCTTACCCAAGTGTCACTTACAAATATCGCCTTATCCTGACGTGTCATCAGTCGCCAACTGGCACCCTGTGTGGCAAGCAGTTATCTGAGAAATGTCAACCAAACAAATCAGGGCGTCTGCCAAACAAATTAGCTGTATTTGTGTGGATGTGGACCAAGGACAGAGTTACTG